AAAAAATAAATAAAATAAGAGAGAGAAAAGAGAAACCCAACTCTCTCCCTATCAAAAGGAGAAAAGATGATAATTCTAATTCCTACCAGGTTTCTTTCATTCCTATTCTTGAGATTTATAAGTGTTCGTTTTCAATATGTCATCTCTTCTTATACAGAACATAAATATCCATATGATTGGCGAACAAAGAAACCAACAATTTTTAGGGCAACTGAGCAATGGTTTGCATCAGTAGAGGGATTTCGCCAGGCTGCTATGGATGCTATTGGTGAAGTAAAGTGGATACCTCCTCAGGTATTGATGTTAGAGTTCATAAACTAGCAAGTCCATGTTTAAGTCATAATTACAAGCCTTATTGTTTACGCCTGTGCTTCATTCAAATATTTCCACATTTTCCTTCATTAAAAAAAAATTGTGCCTCCAGTTTGGATTTAGTTTTTCCATGACACGATTTCCAAGTTTTTTTAACATTTAAATCATCATACAATAATTTATTGCATTGTTTCTGTTTCTTCTCCACTCAATGCACGTTTAATTGGTGTCTCTTTTCAAGGATCAACTATTAATGAAAATCATACTGCTGCTTTTAAGCTATCCAATTACTGATGAGAATGGACTTCTGTCCAGGCGGAAAATAGAATCTCTGTGATGACCTCAAGCCGCTCTGATTGGTGCATATCTCGGCAAAGAACATGGGGTGTCCCAATACCAGTATTTTATCATGTGGAAACAAAAGAACCTCTTATGAATGACGACACTATAAACCACATCAAGTGTAAGATCTTATAAGGACTTATTATGACCTGATTTCTTTTCTTAGACTATGTTTTTTCTTTTGTAGATCAATAATGCTATTGCTGGTCAGAAATTTTAAAACTTCATGCCCGGCAGCTAGTTTAGTTTCTATATTCTACTTTCTCCCTTTTATCTACCAAGACACAATTGGAAATCCTATACCCAAGACTCCTTGAATACAAAATTTCGTCATGAAGTTTTATACTTTTTATTTCGTTTGGCAGCAATAATAGCCAAAAAGGGTAGCGATGCTTGGTGGTATATGAAAGTAGACGATCTTCTTCCTGATAAATATCGAGAAATTGCATCTGAATATGAAAAAGGGACTGATACAATGGATGTGTGGTTTGATTCAGGTATAATAATGTTCCATTATTAAAATTGTTAATTTCGTATGCTTTGAACATGTTTTGCGGTAGTATCAACTATCATTTTTTATCTCAACTATCTTTTTTCTTATATGTGGATTCTTAGGTCCCCTTGATTATATTAAAAACTTAAAAGTAGTTCTTTAAAATAGACAGACTGCCTAACAGCCTAACAGCTTCTCAGTATCTAGTGCTGTTGAAACTTTTTTTTTCTTTTTCCTTTTGCACTGAAAAGCGTTCAGATGTGTTCTTGGTTTATTTAGCAAGATTGTAGAGCAAAGGTGAAGTCAATAGTCCATCTAGGAGTAGGTTTATGCTCTACCTACCATTTTTCAAGAACAAATAAGGTGAACAGTAATACTTCTTGTGAAAACATTCCTGCTTAGTTCACAACAAATATGCTGACGTAATTCAGTAGCATAATTTTAAGCCACTGAAGATAAAATGCACCAGCAGTTAGTAGTTAGATCTTTCTACTCAGAGGTCATACTAGAGCCGTTAAATTTATTATTTGGAAGCCATTGTAAATTATTACTCTTCTTATTTCAGGCTCCTCTTGGGCAGCAGTATTAGGGACACAAGATGGATTTAGTTTTCCTGCTGATTTGTACCTTGAAGGTACAGATCAGCACCGTGGCTGGTTCCAAAGTTCTTTGTTGACGAGCATCGCCACAAAAGGTGTTGAATTATGCACATCTTTTTTTAGTGCTATGAAAAAATTAGCTCTTCGAAGTAATTTTAAAATCTCTTTTCTGAAAAATTGTGAAATATGGCATGTAAAAGTTAACATATTTTCTTTGTATATTTTATTTTCTCTACTTTGTCCTTCAGTGAAATAATTTATCCGCATGGAGAGACGTGCAACCAATGTTGTTGTAATGTGTATCAGATTATGCTAGTCTGATCTAAATGTTGTTTAGAAGTGATGAAAAGGGGTTTTGTTGTACCATCTGTTCTCTTGTGTAAATCTAGGTTATTCATGAAATTCATCATCAATATAACTTAATTAACATAGTTTATTTTGTTGATAATATTTGTTGTGACCAACCAACTATATCATCTATATGATACGTTGTCGTTTTTGCAAAATATCACAGTTGGCTGGTCAATTGCTGTTATACAATGGAAATCAATTTTGTTGACATTTGTGTATCATAGAAACAAATTTTTGTTGGAGTTTATACTATATAATTCATACTTTTGGACTTTCTTTGGAACAGGGAAGGCTCCATATTCCAGTGTCATTACACATGGATTTGTTTTGGATGAGAAAGGTTTGAAAATGAGCAAATCTTTGGGTAATGTAGTTGATCCTAAGACTGTGATTGAAGGAGGAAAGAATCAAAAGGTTCAAAATCTTGTACAATCATATCTGGTTCCTCATTAACCTATTTAAAAAGTGGCTGGACTAAATACCTTGGATGCCTTGTTATTGTTTGTCTCTGGCAGGAAACCCCTGGCTATGGAGCAGATGTCCTGCGCCTCTGGGTTTCCAGTGTGGATTATACAGGTGATGTGATGATCGGTTCTCAAGTTCTCCGTCAAATGTCAGATATATATAGGAAACTGCGAGGAACATTAAGATTCCTTCTGGGAAATCTGCATGATTGGACAGTACGTTCATCTGCATCATTTATATTTTTCTTAGCTTAAAGCAGCATTTAGATTAGCGGCTATGTCTTCTCCTCTCTATTGGTGTGTATATATAATAATAATTATGTTTCTATTGACAGGAGGATAATTATGTACAATATCAGGATCTTCCAAAGATTGACCAGCATGCATTGTTTCAGCTTGAAAATGTCATTAACAACATCAGAGAAAGCTATGAAAGCTATCAGTTCTGTAAGATCTTTCAGGTGACTTTTCTTTGACAGCCTTATTATTTTATTCATTGAAGTTTAAATATTCCCAGCAGTAATTTTAGTCATTACTCATGTTTCCCATATTTTGAAACAAACAGTATTGTTGCATTATATCAACATTCACATTCTATTCGTTAGAAACCAATCTATTCATAAAGCTCTACTCTAGACCTTCTTCTAGCAGCTGTAACTTTGTGGAAGAATTTGAATTTTGATCTCCACATTTGAGCTTATACTTGTAATTCTAACGGATATCCCTGTAAAATATCATCCAACTGATGCTTAAGATTCAGCCTCTGGTTCCCGAAGTCTTGGATCTATATTTGAGGCTTCTTCCAGCTTATCAATGACATTAATGGCAACATGATTCTGTGAGGACTTATACGTGGGAAAGGCCACCTAAAATGTCAATTACGTCTCATTACTTCATTATCACATTATAAATGGTGTAAAAGTTCTGTGGTCTTTCTGAAATCTATTTTGCTTTCTAGAGCCAAGAGCGAATCATGTGTACTTTGTACATTTGGTGGAACTTTGTTGACCATGTGTCTTTCCACGTTTGCAGATTATACAACGGTTTGTGATTGTTGATCTTTCAAATTTCTACTTTGATGTTGCTAAAGATCGATTATATGTTGGGTAAGTTTTCCCGCATCCTAAAAAACTGACCAGCATATTATTAGAAATTGGTCACCATAGCGAGCAGTTGCTGCTTTCCTTGTGAAGTCTTTGTATGTTTGACTGTTTATTGGTCATGGGAACCGATTATGTAGTTCTCCATCAAATCTTAATGCTACTTCATACTGCCCATAAATATCTTTATATATTATTTGGTTCTGATGTCGGATTATTTTTCCTTGAGCAAAATGGTCGCTCACTATGTTGACAATTTCAGGGGAAGCACGAGTTTTACTAGGAGAAGTTGTCAAACAGTTCTCGCAGATCATCTTGTTTCTATTACGCGAATAATTGCTCCTATATTGCCTCATTTGGCTGAGGATGTGTGGCAGAATCTACCCTTCGAGCATAAAAATGATGACGGTTCTGTTGCCAAATTTGTCTTCGAATCAAGGTGGCCAAGCTTAAATAAGACTAGGCTTTCTCTTCCCAGAGAAGAAGTTGATTTCTGGGCCAATATTCTCGAGGTATTTAGTTTCTTTACAATTACAGAAGTTCTGATGATAAATTTATGATCAAGGGTTACTGCAAATATTGGAATGTGTTGACGATTACGAACTAAACTAATCTATAGAACCTTGAATTTAGAATGATATGCTAACCATCAAGCACTTTCAATCAGCTGAGGACAGAAGTGAATAAAGTCCTGGAGGTTGCTCGAACCGAAAAGCTGATTGGTTCAAGCTTAGAGGCTAAAGTCCACCTGCATACTTCAGGAGATGGTTTGGTTTCCAAATTGTCTGAAATGTGCGAATCCAACCATGAGGCAGACACTTTGCAAAGAATATTTATTACATCTCAGGTATCCTAACAGTGTTATTCTTTTACCAAATGCATAAACTACAAATAATTTGGTTCTGTGCTTTAAGTGCAATGGTTCACTGTGCTATCTTCCTCCTTACCCGAAGTCGAGAGTCAATGTGTACTACCATATATAGCTTTCATGCTGTCACAACAATTTAGATATTGGCTTAGTGATCGATTGTAAAATCACCATATACAGGCAGAGGTTCATCGATCCATAGAGAATGAGCTGGTAGAGAACATACCATACACTGGAGAGTGCCTCATCCGAGGGAGTAAAGTCTGGATTGGCGTATCTCGTGCTGAAGGTTCCAAGTGCGAGAGATGTTGGAACTTTTCGCTACGAGTAGGGTCTTTCCTGGAACATCCCACCCTCTGCAAGCGGTGTTTCGATGTGGTTGCTGGCCACCCCGAACCAGCTATGGCAGCAATCAGCTGAGACGCTGGCTGATGAAGGTCGATTGGCATTTCGATTTTGATAACACTGCCATTCTTTCACCCAGTAGTTCCTTTACTCTCCATTACCAAGATGGGAAGAAGAGATGTTGGGTGGTTTCCATTTTTTGAGATGATGATGTATATTATTATTTTCCATTAAATCGTATCTTGATGAGATTAATCTGTTATGTGTTTTGACTTTTGAGTAGGCTCAGATATTAATTTTACAGCTTAGCCTTTGGGATGACTGTGGATTCCACCAAATCAACGCACACTCAGAAAGCTAAAAAATCTGACAAATTCTCCAGCTGAAGAGTTGAGCCAAGGCAAAGAGGAAGCAGGAACAAATGAATGAATGCTATTTAAACTGTGATAATGGTATGGTTAAATTACAAATTTTATCTTTATAAACTTTCAAGTGTTCTTTCTATTTTGTTTTAAGATTCATTTAATTTATGTTGTTAATATCATTAATGAAATACTATGTGACATGCTCATGTTTGTTAAAACGTTTATCTAATATGTATATCAGGTCAATATTTTGTCAATAATATTAATTTGGGCCAAATAAAATATATTCTCATGTTTAGATAGTTAAATAGAACAATATTAAATTTTGTAATTCTATGAGAGATATTAACTTGAGGATTCTAACTTGTAAATTAATTAGATCTATAACTTGTAATCTTTATTCAGTCTATAGTAATCTCAACATTTCGGGCAACTGCAATAATTACAATGAATAAAGTTACTAATAATTTAGAGCCATAATTGTGTAGCCTTTTCCTGTCAAAGAAAATGAGAATACATATATATATATCTCTTGGGCTTTCATTGTCATTTTCTTGATAATAAAAAGAATTAGGAAAAATTGTAAAAATAAAAACTTAAAAGATCAAATGGTTAAAATAAGATAATTGTGTGAATTACGAAAATGGAGTGTTTTTTAATACCATGAATTTAGAATCTAATTTGAAATTAAAAAATGTTTAATTACATCCACATAAAAGTTCATCAACCAAGAATATAATCAAAATTAATCAAAATTAAATTTATACAAATAAGGTTAAAAAAATGTCTCGTCCCTATTCTTGTACTTTTCAATTACAATTTAATCCATAAACTTCAGTTTTTTACGATTTAGTTCTTATACTTTTAAATACAATTATAAACTTCAGTTTCTTATGATTTAGTTCATATACTTTTTAAATTGTTATATTAACAATTTAGTCTCTAAACTTGTATTAAAAAATCACATCAGATTTAAGTATCCATTTTTATTATAGAATGATTTAGTCTTTATAATTCCATTTTTATTATAGAATGATTTAGTCTTTATAATTTAAAAGTACATTTAATCTCTTGAAACAATATTTTTTACAGAATATTTTTTACAGATTATTGTTTCACATTAAAATTTAAAGGCTAAATTGTTCCGTACAAAAACTAAATCATTACCGATTAAAATTTGGAACTAAATCATTACTCCAATTTAGACCAAAAATATTTTTAAACCTTAAAATAATTATTTTTAGAAAAACAATTTCACAATAATGAAAGCTATGTTCAAAATTAGCCAATCTGAGTACATATAATCATCAATCAAAAAAGTTTGATGTTCAATGTAGGCGAACTAAAAAAAAGTGTTGGAAACCATGAAATATGTTGTCAATAAACAACCAAGAAAAGATCGAGGGAACAGATTTCTTTAACAACTCCTATCATCATCTTTAAAATGTGACAGATTTTCCATTACAAAGTTGACATAAGAAAGAAAGGCTTCTAAAAATCAATGAAATTTAGACATTAATAACACAGATTCTTAACCCCAAAAAAAGTTTACAAATCTCCAGTATTATCGGTAACTGATAAATAAATACCAAGACCATACAACTTTGAACACTGTATTACACCTTCCCAAAGAACAAGGCAGCCCCACCAAAGCAAAAGGCAAACTCTCAAATCCCCTGTGAAAATTTCAACCATTGCCGTGGCTATCATATCATATCAAGAAGAAAACGATGTTACCTTTACAGCTTTGAAAGCAGGATGAAGCAATCCCAGTTCATCCTTCACCTCCAGCGGATTGCTCGTATCATTCCTCACCCTCTTCACTCTCCTACTCGCCAGAGACTTGTGAGTGAAGCCATATATTTGCAGAATTTGATTGTCCCCAAAGTTGAATGCTCTGTCCATTTGTCTCAGGCACCTCTCAACTGGGTAATCCCCAAACTTCCCGCACGGCTTGCACCCGACGAAGTGAGTGACGAGCGGCCACCGGTGATCGCCGAGCCCCGGGTGGTAATTCTCGATCATCTCCTCGTACCGATCCACCAAAATCCCCCAGTAACCATGTAGATAGTACGCATTCTCAAGGTAAACTTTCTGCCCCCATTGATCCTTCTGAGTTGCCAGCAAATACACCATTGCAGACTGATCATCAGCTTCGAAAACAGGGCGGTCCTTCAGCTCTCTGGTCAGGATCTTCCCAGCTTCATCTCTGATCTTCCCCTTTGGCCCCATTGGCGCCCAGGCGTCGAGAATGTCCAGCGACCACTGGCAATTTCTCAGAAGAAAACTTCCGGTATTCAACCCAATCCAATTCTTCTGATCATAAACCATCTCGTTCCAGCCGTGCATCACAAAGTTATGATCCTTGTACCTCTCCCATGGAACCTCAAACGCCATATCAGTGAACATGGCGTCACTGTCCATCCACCAGAGGAACTCAATCTCCGGGTGGGAGAGCAAGAGCTTCCTAATCAATGGAAGCTTGGCCCAGAAACCGGCCATTTCAGCATCGAGAAGCGCCATATTGTAGAAAACCTCAATCCCATGGAGGCGACAGTAATCGATCTTGTTTTTGATCGCTTTGAGAAGGTAATGGTCGCCGACGGGATTCTCGCAGGGCTTGGGCGAGGAACCAGTGACGAGAAGAACTCGGGGCTTGTTAGGTCTAATAAAATTGGGGAAATTAGGGTTGTTCTTCAGCCATTGAGCTCGCTGTTCATCCCAGTCGGAGATTTTGGGGCCGAGAGAGTAGGGTTTACTCGGATCCGGCTTCTCATCTTCACCTTCATCCACCAAAATCTTCGAAATATCGAATGTGGCATAATTGTTGGACTGATCGGCCGGCTTCGTGGTCTCTGGCTGGGCCTCTTCAAGGACGCGGCGAGGCTCGACGCGGCGGCTGCGGGAGGAGAAATGCTCGCGGATCTCGTTGAAGTCCTGCCCCGGAGTACCGAACTTGCCGGCGCCGACAGTGCCGCGGAGGACGACGACGGTCAGGAAAAGGCAGAGGACGGTGACGGCGCTGTGACGGAACGCCCTTTGGATCCGGCGGAGGCGGCTGGGTCCGAGAATGCGCTCGATCATCTTCCCAGGCTCCGGCGAGTGGATTTTGAAACTGCGAGCGACCCTCGAACAGAAAAAGGAATCAAAATCGATGGAGGAATTGAGATGAAGATGAAGAACGGAGATTTCGATCTGAAAAAAATGGTCTGACAGAGAGAGGGTTTTTCGGAGGAGAGGGAGTCGGTGGAGGAAGAGAAGAATCAATCAAGATTCATATTTTATTGTTATTTATTATTTATTATTATTATTATTTCAAAAAGTAAAAACAAAAACAATTAAACAAAGAAAGCGCTTCCTTTTTTTCTTACGCGCTTCTCGTTCTCTTCTCCAAATAAAACCAAATTTCTCTATCCGGGCCCACTTTTTTTTTTAATTCTATTTATTTCACTTTGCCTTTTTATTTGTTTTTATTTATTTCTCTCTTTTTTTTTTCCAATTCAGCCTCTGTTTTCGAGTTATGATTTCTTCCTTTTCTGTTTTACGTGAATCTATGTACTTTTATGCTTTCCCCGTTTTAAATTTAAATTTTATTTAAATACCATTTTATTCCATAAAATTTAATTTTTGATTGTTTTGTTATGTCTACTTTCAAAATATCGCTATTTTAGTCTTTTTTTTTTTCTCAATCTCATTTTTTTTATTACAATTTCAACCTGTTACTATTCTTCATAAAATTCTTAATTGCTTTGTATTAAAAAATTTCTATAGAATTTTTGTCAACTTCTTTTAAATAGGAACTAAAATCGTCAATTTTCAAAACTACAATGACTCAAACACACATTAAAATAGTATTACGCTTAAATTCTATTTAGTCCCTATATATTTTATATTAATTTTTAAATATTGTATTTAATTCCTAAGCCTTGCATTGAAAAATTGGTTCAATTTCTACTTTATTTCATAAACTTGCATAATTATACTACTGTAGTTTGTAAATTTTAAAAATACTTTTATGATGTTTGTTATTTTGGCATCGGCCCTCTTATTTTCCCTTTTGGTAAATGTAGAATTAGTTATAATGGATTTTCATATAGGCTCATTTAACACATTAATACATATATGTAAAATTATGTCGTTCATTTACTAAAAAATGAAAAGAAAATATTAAAATAAATGTTAATACAAAATTGGAGAAGTAAAATAGAATATTCAAAATTTTAAAATAAAAATAAGACAGTTTGACCATAAATATTGCTGAGTAGCTAATATATCTATATCGCCTCTAAAATTGAATGTTCTATTCTCCACCTCAAATTTATTGATCAAAATAATATCCCTCTAAGCTTAATGGTAAAATCAATTGAATTAATTTAAGGCTTCTATTAAATATTTTCTAAACTCTTACATATAAATAATAATAATAATAATAAAAAAAGTGTTCAATTGGTATTTATTGTTTTTTTTTCTTGTATTAAAACATAGCATATGGTTGAGGGGCCCACATGATGTGATTTTTATATGTGCTACATTTATTAATTTCACATTTTAATGTGGCATATGACCCAAGGTAGGCCAGTTGTAAGGTTGTGGGATCCAACTAAAGTCTAAGTCATGTGGCTGATTGCTTCACCTTTAATGTGACATATGGCACTTCAAAACTTTATTTTATATATATTTAATATTAGTTTTTAGTTTCAATTACCATTGGGCAATATCACGAATTGTATTTATTTTTTTAACGTTCATAATATAACTTATGAGAATAGTTGATTAAAATATTTACTCTTTTTTTATGGTTGAAGGTTCTAATTCTCACTTCATGGTGGATGTACTTAGAAAATGTTTAAAATATAAATCGAGTGAAATTATTACGAAACTCCTAGGATAAAAAAGAACGATAAATAATAATTAACAATTGATTAATCAAAAATGAAACTTAAATGAACTAATGATTTATCATTATTAATAACTAATTGATTTAATCTATTAAAAAAACCATGCATTTAACTCGTGGAATGAATTTAAAATTTAAACTTTAATTATGTAATTAAACACCAAAAATATATGAAAAAATTTATTAATACGGAAACAAAAACTCTAAATTATTTTACACATAGTTTTTTTAACCCCCGAGAGAGTTATTTTGAAATCTTAATTACATGAATGTCTTTAGGTTTTAAAATTTACACTTTTAGATATTTGCAGTTAGGATTTTATTTTAATACCGTTTCTACCCTTATTTATTGCTTTTTATTTTATTATAATTTTTAAATTTTAAAGATTTGAATCCTTAATTTGTAATTATATTCGTTTAATTCTTGTGGGTCCATTCAAAATTTCAACCTTAATTCCTCAAATCTCTCCTTCAAAAAAGATTTTTCTCTCTCACTAATTAACAACTCCCAATTTTGTTAAATGAATTAAATGCTGCCGATTCTCTTTCCTCGTTTGCTGTCGATTTTCTCCAGCTACCGTGCAAAGCCGATTTTCTTCACCCCTGTCTTCATTTCCAAGGTGCAAAGACGTCGGTTGTCAGACCTTCATTTTCCATCTTCAGGACTTTTATGAACAAGGTATTTATTTCTTTTGCACGTTTCCAATGCCGTTCATTCCCGTCGACATCTTTGCAAGTTTCCAACACCCTTCATTGTACACCAAATCAACAATGTATTGCTTTCTTCTTCCCCAGACACGTCCAAACCTTCAATTTCCGTCGCTGAATAAACTTTCTGTCGACGTCTTTGGACGTTTCCAACGTCGTGCAGCATGTTCCTCGTCTCCTGTCCCCTTCTGTTTATACCATGGGTAATTAATAGTCTTCCGTTGAGATTGGTATATATGGGGATATATTTTATGTATGTGTACTGGAAGTTCTAAACGTCTCACAGTGTTAGTATTCCTGATTATATTCGTATATATAGGTATATATTGTATATGTGAATATATCTTATATGTGTATACATATATCTTATTAGTCTTCCGTTAAGATTGGTATATATGGGGATATATTTTGTTTATGTGTATAGAAAATTGAAGTTCTAAATGTCTCATATTCTTAGTATTCCCGATTATATTCRTATATATAGSTATATATCTTATATGTGTATATATCTTATAGTTGTATACAAGATATAAACGCATACATCCTATAGTAATGTAGAAAGGGTCCTCCAAAACTGAAGTTTTAAACGTCTCATGGATTAAGCGAAAAAAGTTCTTAGATTTCGAATTTGGGAGATTTTTGGACCGGATTTGGAGATATTTTGGGAGGTTATGATTTCAATTTTGGGGAATTTAGGGTTTTGTTTTTAATGTTTTGATGTTTTAATTTGTTTTGGAAAGTATCATTAATCTAAAATTGTGGGATCTAAATTATAACCTTCCAATTAATCAATTTTGCATATTAAAATGAATTTAAAATTAATTTGTAAATACAATAGGCTATTTAAGTAATTTATATGATGGGTACCCTCCTAAATAGGTTATACATGACAAATGTGTAAATTCTATACATTCCATCCTGTACTAATCCCTTTTTTTTTTAATACAAACATGTGGGATGGTGATCGAATTATTCACAACTTCGTGATTTGAGATATATATCAATTACAGTTCATTTTGACATTTTATGGTTTAAGCTATATTTTGCACGCGTGTTCCATCAAATTTTTTTAGTATTTCCGCCTAGTTAGTTCAATTAAGCATGCCACACCAAAATATTTAATTAGAAAATTAATTTGGAATCAAAAGTTTCATCAATTAAATCTGTAATTTAAGCTTTAATTTTCACCCTTTAAAAACACAAATCTCATAAGCAAAAATGGGTTTTGAAACTTTCTTTAAAAAAAAAAATTAATTTGGTCCTGATCTAAAAAACTAGAGACAGAAAAAAATTGTTGTTATTGAGCACAAATTTCAAAAAATAGAAAACAAAAAAAATTCATGGCCTTAGTAAATTTTATTTATTCTTTTAAAAATCGTTTTCTATGGAATAAATGGTGGTTACTGCTTGTTTTGTAGAATTACTCCTACAAATGATGATATCAGTCATAATTAATTTCATATTAATTTATTAAATTTGAACAATCATTTGTTAATTAGTTAATAAGCTTGATAAATAATTAATTGCATTCATTTAATAGATTGAATGAATAAAAACAACAAAGTAGATACATCAATCACCGAATGTTTAGTAATTTATTACAATTGAATAATTAATTATTTGACTTTTTAATCATCAATTAATATTAATGTCAGACAACTTGTTAAAACACTTATTTTCGATTAAAATGTTGTGAGTTTGAACCCATACTATCACATATTGTATTAAAAAAATTAAAATTAAAGTTAAATTATTACAAGAACATGTTTGAAAGTGAATTTGACATTATTTAAGGATATGTTTGAGAATAATTTTAGAATAAATGATTTTAGCAAAAGAGATTCAATGACAAGTAATTTTGTGAAAGTGATTTTTATATAATTATTTTAATATTTGTGTACTTGTTTTCAAATGTTTTTCATATACTTAAACATGATTTAGAAGGATTAATATTTGAGGTTGAGAGGTTTCAACCAAAGTTTTAGATAGAGTAAAAAAGGTAGAGAGGAAGAAAAATCTTAAAGAGTCAAAGAAAAAAATTTTAAAGAAAGAAATAAACTTAGAAAGGGATTTCAAAAATTTTTAATTGCAAATAGTATTAAGCGAGATAAGATAGATACTTTCCTTGATTTATATAAATTAAATAGACAACTTTGTAATTCGAAAAAACTAAAATTGTAATTCAACTCAAAATTGGTCGTTTATTGTGTATTTTTTTAGTACAAATTATCTAATGTATTATTTTATTATACTTAGGTATTAAAATTGTGCTTAAATTGATGCTAATGTAGCCTTATCAATTACAAATTTCAAAACATATTAGTTCATTTCAACTAATTAATCCTAAATAGAAAATATAAATAAGTATGCACAACGAAAATAATATCTAAATATCTATATATATATATATATGAGAAATAAATAAATATATAAGCTAAGGATGGCAAAGTTTGTCGATGGTCCACTCAAAATTTGACAAAGAAAATCTCAATCTAAATCCAGGTTCAGTGTGGAAAAATACCAGGTGAGGTTTGAAAAGAAAAAAAAAAATCTTATTTTGTTACGTAAACTTTCCACTTTCTGCACAATTTTTAATTTAGTCTCTAAATTTTTAAAAAACATGTCCTTTGATCCTTAAATTTTTATGGGTTGGAAGTTTTAGTCTCCAAATTTTAACGCAATAACCACCTTCGCTGAGATAAGCTGAAATTAATGAATTTTCCACTGTTGTAGTCATCTAGTTAATAGGGCGAGCAGCGTAATAGAGACGGACGACGTGAGTGAGCCCGGACTATAGCGGCTTTAGAGACTTCTCTCTCGACTTTAACGGCGACAAAAGTCACTATCTACTTTATAGTCGAATCTGGAGAATATGAACTAATCACATTCTTCTTTTTCGGTATGTTGTTATGAGGAGCTCTAGTGCTCAATCTTGGGTGCATGTAGGTCTGGTTCCTGAGAAAACAAATATATATTATTAGCGAGTTTTGCCGTACAATAGAGAATCCAAGACAGGCTGAAATTAATGAATTTCCCCGGTTGCCACCGACTAGCCGGAAACAAAACGGCTCTAAGTGATCGCTCTGGCTGGAAAAGGTGGTCCGGAAGCGAAAGGGTCCACCCTGAAACCAAGGGGATGCTAACATTTGAGTCCTCTCCGAACCCCACTGAGAAAGGTTCATTCCAAATCACAAGAGTTCAGGTTGTTTCTCATGATAAAAAGAGCTTTTTTTTTTATGTGAAATTGATGAAAACCCGATATTTAAAGGTCGGTAATGTTAGAAGACGACTTGAAAGAAGCGCGGAAAAGGGTCAAACGCGGTTGCTAGCATCGAAGAGAGCCGTCATAGACGAGAAAGTGGGAGTTCGGAATGGAGTCACAGGAATGGGCATACTCGTTTCGAACTCGCAGCAACCTGACCTATGCTTGCTTTAGCTTCACTCCTTCACATGCGGTTGAATCCATTTTGAATTTGATAAATGCATGGCTTGTGAAGTAGTGTAGTATTGATTTTGGGATTTGTATATTTTGTGGTAATTGAATATTGTCCAACAAATTGTTGAAGAATATGAAATTTCTACTCATGATCGTCATGAATTGAATTATAATCAAATTTCTTTAGGTTGTTTACCAACGTCAGTAGTTGATGATTATACAATTACAACAATTTTCAATTCGCCGAAAAAATAATAATCATTTTAGTTTTTACTGTAAATTTGCCTACTCAATACTCAATTTCAACCTCATATCAATATATGTACTCGAAGTCTATGTTATTAATTTGTTAAAAGACCAAAATAGTTAATATTTAAAAGTTTATGGACCAAATAGATACAAATAAAAAAATTTAAAAATTTGTTCATTTTGTTCTGGTCTACTTTATTAAAAAAATAAAATAAATTTAGAAGTATAGGAATAAAAAAGGAATGAGAGTGCCAATGGAATCAAATATATATATCATGTAGAGACCACAATAAACTTCAAAATGAACCATGTATAGATTACAAAACTCAAATGCAATCAATAAGATCTCTCTAAAAGAGACAAAATCATCATAATTTAGATATTAAAAAAGAAAAAAGGAAAAAAGGATTAAACCTACGTTTTGATAAAGAACTGAAGAACCAATAAGCTAATTTTACAAAAATTTGATATCTCCTAAAAAGTTTTTGTACCGTGGTCTTCAAAAAATTCCTACAACTTCCTAAATCTGATGAACAAATCGGCAAACAAAAACCTCAAAGATGAATCAACACGTAAGTGACTGCAGAGAGATACGCAGTGGAAGCCAAACAGGGCTTAATAAGATCCTTAGCGAACGGATTCACTCGCTTGAAGCTCCGATAACAGGCAAACAGAGTAATGAAATCCAAAACACAGAACAGAAACGCAAGCAGAACGGCGCGAATCACGAGTACCAGAGGATTCCAGACGACGCTGAGGGCGAGATGCGCGATGTAGAGCGGCAGGGCGGTGGAATTGCCGTGAAATCCGCCGTCGGCCCACACGAGCCAGGCGGAGAGCCCGATCAGGAAGGAGGAGCCGATCGACGATAGATGGAGGAACCAGAGCGGCGCCATCCACACCGGGCGGCTCCGATTGGGGAAATGGCGGCCGGAGCCGAAGAGGAAGATGACGGTGATGGTGAGAGACAGGGGAATGGCGACGGAGACGGCGAGGGACCGGAGCGCCCTCTTGGCCTTGGTGTACTTGGATTCTGGCCTGGATTTGAAAGGCGGACTGGAAGACATTGTTAATCTCTGATCTCCGATCTGTGATCTCTGAATTTTGAGAGACGATTGGGATTCCGATCGAGAGGATTGAACTGAAGATTAGGGCAAGGCGAAGGGGCGGAAGAAGAAGAGAGAGAGAGAGAGAGAGGTAATAAATTTGGAGAAATTAAAGGAAGATTGAACGTTACAGAGGAAATTCAGCCTTCAGGTGGTTTCAGAAGGATCATCCGTTGCATGCCGCGCGATTTCCTTTGAACAATTCATATCCGCCACAATTTTATTTGAGTGGCTTTTCAATTTAGTCCCCAATTTTTTTACAATTTCAATTTTTAACCAATTACCAAGGAATCAAAAGAATGATGCTCTGAAAATTTAAAAATAGTAACTTTTAGGACGGTATTCCGAATAATTTTAGTGGTTTAACTTTTTATAGCAATAAAAATTTTGATGTCTGAATATGAGGATAGCTTATACATTTATTCATTTCTTTAAGCTGAGGGTTCAAATCTTCGGTTCACTCTTAAAAAATGAAGGTACATATTGAAACAATGCCCAAATATTATAAACCAAAACATGTAGTGAGTCTATCTTTAAATTATAAAAGTTAAAAATACTAGTTTGGTTATTGTACTTTTAACTTTAGTTCATTTTAGTCATTCTACCTTCAAAATATTCGTTTTGGTCCGTATTTTTAAAATTTTAATATAAATTCTACACATAATAAGAACTTTTTAGTATAAAGTCGTTACATTTTAAGAGATTTGTTGAGTATAGTGTCATGCTAAAATTGTGATAGAAAAATAGAGATTAAAATATGAAATTAAGGGACCCTAAAATAGTTACTTTTTAAAAGGATATGGACTAAAACGAACATTTGAAAATACGAGAGTCAAAATGAACTAAAGTTAAAAGTACAGGAACTAAAATGATCCAAGTGTCACCATGCTAATAAACTTTAATAATAATGATTAAATAAAAGTATAATTCAAAACTCATACATTAAATAGAAAATATGATCCATTGTTCAAAGATTAAATTTTATAATCTAACACATACGAAAGGCCCCACATTTTTTTTAAAATATTTATGTGAACTCAATATCCAACCGTTGTTGGTTCATTTGGCAATATGAAATTTGTAAAGAGAATTTTCACTCAACTATAGGCTGTAGCATACATTTTTGTATATTTTACCTAATATTTGAGTTCTATTTTACATCATATTTGAGTTTTACTTTATTGTTTGATTATACTATTTTTGTAAAATTTTAAACTTTTTACTATATTTAAAATCACATATTTATAAGACATTTATGTAATTACCTCAATTTTAAATCGCGCAAAGTAAATTTGTCCCAACCATTCGTTGCTACAAGAAAAAATTGGTCATACTTGACGAATTGACGTTACATACTACCGAATTTATGATATTTCAATTAATATCGAAGTACCAATCTCAATCAAAAGGTTATGAGTTTGAATTCCTATATCTATATATTTGTACTAAAAAATATCAAATTCTCTTATTATGTTTATTTTTATAAATTAGGGACAGTTGTAAATATGACAAAAATATTTGGGAAAATTGACAAAATAAGCGTTCTGTAGGTGTCTCTTAAGTTTTCTAATCGCCCTCTTCAAAACACTAGTTTTCTAGTCACTGCTGACATCACATACTTGTGTGAAATGATATTTCATGTCCCTCCTTACTTTTTTTTCTCTTCCAGACTCCATCTCTCTTCTCTCCCCTCCTCTCTCCTCCATTTCTTAGATTTGTTTGATCTTCTCCATGATTTCTACACAACACACACCAGTTTTTGGCGTCTCTGCTAGGAATTCAACGAGTGGAAGTCCCGTTCGGTTGTCGTCCGCTGCTTCCATCCCGAGCTCTTGCGTCTCCCTGGTGGCCTCTCCAGCGACATTGTTGAACGATGACAACATTGCCGGCGGCGAGAAAGAGGGAGAGAATAATTTGCATATGAAATAAGATAAAAATTTCCTTATTATTTTTCCCAACTCTTTCGCCCTCTCTTCTAAAATCAATTTTCAAGATTTCAAAAACTTTCCTTCTATATCTCTTGCACGTCCTCCTGTACGGACTATCTTCTTCTCCATGAAACCAAATGCGTCGAGGAGGGAGGGGAGAGGAGAGAGGGACAAAGCGAGAACGAGAGCGACGTCATCGATAGAGTGAGATTGAGAAGGACAGAGCGAGATCGAGAAAGACGAGATCGAGAAGGAGAGAGCGAGATCGAGAGAGGTGAAGAAGTGGTGATAATAACAAAAAAAATGGGATGGTTAGGAAAAAATGGATTGTTTTCTTTTTCTTTTTTTTTTCTTTACTCCACCAAATTGAGTTAAATTAAATTTTAAATTTAGGATTAAAGGAACAGATTTATGAGGAAGAGATTAAGGAAAAAACATGATTTTTTTTATACTCCCACCTAATTAGATAAAATTTTAAATTTACGATTAAAGGAGGACTACCTAATTAAATTATAAATTTAAATTATAATCCTAATCAAAATTAGGGGAGATATTAAAGGAGAGATTTATGTTAACTTTTCAAATAATTAAAGAGGAAAAAAATAATTAAGAAAACAAATCTAAATTAAATTTCAAATTTGAATATACTAAAATTAATGCGATATAATTTTAAATTTTAGTTAAAAAAATCTTCAATGCTTAGTATTTTAAATTTGAGATTTCGTTTCTCTCCATTCCAATTTTTAAAATCGTTTCTAGCTCAATCTCGCTCTCGCTCACTCATCTCTCGTTTTCTCTCTCTCACTCAATTGTCTCTCTCGCTCAATTCTCTCTCTCTCAACTTTCTCTTATTCAACTCTCTCTCTCTATCTCCTTCCCCATCCCATGGTAACTTTCTTCCTCTCCTGAGCCTCTTGGAGGTAGAGATAAGAAATAAAGAAAAAGAGAAATAAGGGAGGAAAACGGACGAAAACTAAAAATCTATAAAATGAGGTAGAGTAAGGAGGGGCATGGGAGGTCATTTGGCAAAGTAGGTGATGTGAGCAATAACTAGAAAACTTGTGTTTTGAGAAGAGCAATTAAAAAACTTAAGAGGGCCTCACAGGAAACTTATTTTGTCAATTTTCCCACTTTAGTAAAATAAGTAAAATAACAACCACATTTAGTTTTTCAAATATAGCATTTTTTCAACAAAAAATGGAGGTCCAATTTTAAAACTACAAATTTTAAAACTACAACTTTACCGTGCAATATATATGTTATATATCTTACTACTGATATATGTCTATAATATACCACTGATATAATAATGATATACAATTGATTTAGTTCTGATATAACTATGATATCTATTGAAGTTCTAATATGACTTACCACTTATATCGTATGATAACCATTGATTTACCATGTTGATACAACATTTATATATTTGTGATATATACTTGATATGTCTCTAATTTACAATTGATAGACAAGTGATATACCACTGATATAACTTCTTATATATGATTATATGATTTACTACTAATATAGCATTGATATATATTTGATATTATATTTAATATGTTTCTAATTGACCACTAATATACATTTGATATAACCATGATATCTACTAATATAATTATGATACATGTGTGTTGATATAATACTACAATATCCATTATTTTTTCATATGAAAACAATGGTGCAAAAAAAAATAAATATAAAGTTATTATATAAAAGATTTATGTGGATCATGGCAAAAAAAAATAGAAAAAATAGAAATTTGATATACTTTATAAATTGAAACTATTGATATCCCTTATATTTAGTATCTAATTAATATTAATTTATAATAAATGATAGTGATATAGTAATAAATATTATTGATAATATTAGTCTATCAATAAAAAAAAATGCATTTTAAGAGAACTGGACACATAAAAGTGACTATTTTGATCCCTATTTTTAAAATTTTAATATAACTTCTACACATAATAGGAACTTTTTAGTATAAAGTCGTTACATTTTAAGAGATTTATTGAGTACAGTGTCATGTTGAAATTGTAATAGAAAAATAGAGATTAAAAATATGAAATTAAGGGGCCATAAAATAGTTACTTTTTAAAAGAATAGAGACTCAAACGAACATTTGAAAGTACGAGAACCAAAATTAACTAAAGTTAAAAATACAGTAACTAAAATGACCAAGTGTGACCATGCTAATAAACTTTAATAATAATGATTAAATAAAAGTATTTCAAAACTTATACATTAAATAGAAACAATGATCCATTGTTCAAAGATTAAATTTTATAATCTAACACATACAAAAGGCCCCACATTTTTTTTCTGAATATGTATGTGAACTCAATATCCAACCGTTGTTGGTTCATTTGACAGTATGAAATTTGTAAAGAGAATTTTCACTCAACTATAGGCTATAGCATAAATTTGTATATATTTTACATCATATTTGAGTTTTACTTTAATATTGATTATAGTATTTTTGTAAAATTTTAAACTTTTAAATTTAAATGTTTGGACTCATTAGTCAATATTGCTGAGAATTTGTATGTGTTTAGAAAGTAAAATTATCCAAACCATTTGCTAGTACAAGAAAAAAATTGGTTTACTTGATGAATTGACATTACATGCTATCGAATTTACTATATTTCAATTAATATTAAAGTACTAATCTCAATCAAAAGATTATGAGTTTGAATTTTTACATTCACATATTTGTACTAAAAAATATCAAATTCTCCTGTTATGTTTATTTTTAGAAATTATCAAATTCTATTGAGAAACTATGGAGAATTTGAAAGTTGAAACTTGAGAGTAGTTTTTCAATAAAATTTAATCTTTTTATTTTTCGAGTTAATAAATTATTGGGCGTTGTTTGTAATAAAAAAAATCACATTAATTAATTAATAATTGATAGTGATTCTTTTTTTTTTTCTTTGAAAATGTATAATTGACAGTGATTCGAATCACTTACAGGAAGATACAGAACTAATAAAATTCCATGTCAATTTGATCTAGTCTGATTCGATTCCACGGATCTACTACAGAATCAAACTAAACACAAAAACATTATTAGGAAATAGAGAATCCAAACAAAAAACAAAAATGCAGAAACTTAATCAGATTGAAAGCCTATCAGAAAATTAAAATTGACGGGATTCGATTTTGTTTTCGCTTACAAATTTTATTAAGAAATTTAAACATTTTACGAATTAAATGTATTTTTTAATAATTCTCAAAATTATATAGAAATTTTTAATTTTTTCTTTCAAATGATTCGAATCATTCTTAAAAACTATACAATTTTATTTTTCTTTATTAAAATCAAGTAGCAGCTCTTATATGCCTCAAAATCTCTCGAAAGATTCAAACAACAAGAAGGAGGAGGCGAATCCGTATGATATGAAAAATTAAACAAAGATTTTATTTAACATCATGTTTGTTCAAACTTAAATCTCTTCGAAAGTATATAATATCGCAAATAATTTATCCGAAAAAGTAAAAAAATCATCGCCTACATCGAGTAATGGCGCTGCAGCCGCGGGAGTAGGGATTCGCCGGAGCTCCCGGCCGGCAATTGTAATACGACGCGCCGCGGCGGGAGCACGGCACGGTGTTCCTCCGCAACGCGCCGTAGCTGATGTAGCGCGTCGCCGTTGCCAGAATCCGGTGGCCGACCGTCGCGAACTGGAACGCGTCGCCGCCGAGCACGCACTCAGCGATCGGTCCTCGGCAGGCGGATTCCGGCGGAAGGAGAAGAAATTGACGGTCTCCGGTGAAATCGACGGCGGTGGATGAAGAGAGCGGCAGATAGGAGGCGGAGATTGCGCAGAGCAGAAGGAAGCCATGGATGCGTGAATTTCCCATTCTGAGAATCGGGCTCGGTTGGAGAGGGAAAGTGAAGAACGTGGCGATAAAATTGGGGGTATTTTAAGGAAATGCCACTGGATTTGAGGGATATTATTGAGATTGCCACTTGGCTTCAAAATGACTAATATTGATGGTTGCTTTCTTGCGTGTTAAGATTGTCTGCCTCTTTACCCGCAGTTGCATTTGCACTAATCAAAGTCGCCACGTTTCATCTTTATTGGTATACGGTTAAATTACCATTTTAGTTTTCTAGATTTTGAAGTTGTTTCTTATAATTTTTTTAAAGTTTTATTGCATAAATTTATTACATGTCTTTTAAAAATATAGTTTTGGTGATTCCTGGTCAAGTTTGAGATGGGAGTATTTATTGTAGGAGTATAAGGGTGCGTTTGATTGGTAATCAAAAAACAGAAATTTAATGAAAACCAAAGTTGTATTCTATTTTATAAACTAAATTTTATTTTAATATAAATTTATATTAATTAATTTATTGATATTTTTTTTTATGAATTTTGTATAATTAGTATTTTATAAGGTTATACAATTTAGAATACATTTCCATTTTAACAAATTTATAATATAAAGTAATATATTTACCAAGTTTACAGGATCGAATTCACAACCTCTTGATTTGAAGTATATGTCAATTACCTTGAGCTATTAATTATATAATAAAGAGGAAAATGTGTAACTTTAATTGAGAGGAAAAAAATAAGAGGAATAACATGGGTGGGAATTTAGTCACTTACTTTTTTTTTCCCTCCAGAATTAATGCCTACCTTAGGTAATAATTACGGATATATGGACCGCCCGTCTCTCTATTATTTTATTATCGGTTTTCATTTAATTGCTAAGTTGGCAATTGATGCGGCGTGATTATCGCCTAAAAAGTGAAATTTATTCATGTGAAAGGACTATTTTGCAAAAGAAAAAAAACGTGGAATGCAATATTTTCTGGTGCCATGAATCTCCAAATTCTTTTGTGAGCGGAAAAATATCTTAACCTGTTGAATTATATTCATATTTGCAACACAAATGTTTAAATTGGTGATGCAAATACGAGCATAAAGATAATGAAATTTTCAAAAATGGGAATGGAGAATGTACGTTGTCACCTCAACTTCGACCTGGTGGTATCTTTTTTAGTATGACAACATGGGAAGGTAGGAATTCGAAATCTTTTGATTGGCTATGCATGCCTTAATCAGTTGGACTAAACTTATGTTGGTCATTTTGATTATCAATCTTCGATTTTCTCTAAATGTATTTTAAAGCTCTCAATTAAATTCTACTAAAAAAAATTATTTAACAAAAAATTAATGTATTATTAAATTATTATTTTATTAATATAGCAAGACACGTGAACTTCCATACAATTTAGATACGTATACAACTCACAACTAATCCATTAGCAAAACTCAACTCTAATCAACAAAATATATTTTGTTCAAATAGCATGTCGGAGTAATATGACTGGATATCCAAACATGTCAATACAATAGTAATTTAATGATGCATTATTTTTATATTATCAAAACTTAACTATTTTTTTCAAATAAAACGATCTAGTTGAGAATTTTTAATAAGGACAAAATCTAAAATGTTCAAATATGAATGACCACCTCAAATATTAGGAACCATTTTGTATACATAGCATATTTTTAAATATTTGTTCCACCTTAATTAAAATGATTAATTGATGTTCAAAAAATTATTAGTTGATCCATAAAATTTTATTATTCTAATTTTCTATTTGAAAATGTCATATATTTATTAATATTTAATATAAAACAATTGAAAAAGGGAAAAAAAGTTATATACGAGTAAACTAGTTAAGTTATGTCACATTCACAAAGTCATATCGAATAAAAATAAAACGGTATTTCATCCTATAAAATTTCAAATATTATATTTTAGTTTGAGAATAAAAACCCATTTTAACATTTTCCTATTCACATTTAAACAATTTATTAAACGAAAAACTAATATATGTACCTATGTCCATTTTTCTAATGAATAAATATTTACATGAATGCATATTTAAAAATTGAAACTGAATCCAACTTTAGATGCATAAAGTTTGAAAATAAAACTTAAGTTATTGTTGAATGTTTAATAAATCTTTTAGTAAAATTATAAAAATAGATTTATACGTTATATTTAAGAATTAAAACCAATCCATTTTATAAAAAGAAAACCTAAACATTTTTTTTAGATAAAACACCAAACAATAAAGTATTTAAAAGAAAAAATATACCAGCAACTAAATATTTCAATTTGTATTAGAACCTGGTTGTTAAATGTAAGACATTTTCCTATGTCGGAAATGAATCGACATTTCTATAGTATTAAAAAAATTGACAAAATATAAAGGAAAAAAAACCACTAATACAAACATAACATTAATATTTAAAAATTGAAATGCTTGTTTATTATTTTAAATATTTTGTTATGATGTTTGAGGTAGGTGTCTAATTGGTTCTTGGAGTTTCAAAACAAATACTTTTGGTCCTTCAGGTTTAAAGTAGGTGTCAACTTGGTACTTGAAGTTTTAAAATGAACACTTTATCCCTCAAGTTTGAGAAATAGTTCTAAATGGTCCCTGATTTTTTTACTGTTAATTAACTAATATTAAAATGACGTGGCAAATTGCAATTAAATTGTTTATTGTATTTGTTGATGTGACAAATTATATTAATTAAATAATATATATCCGGTATAAATGGCGGACGGACGGTGGTGGCAAAGACGTGGTGGTCATTTGTCACATCAGTAAATACAATAAACAATTTAATTGCAATTTGTCACGTAATTTTAATATTAGTTAATTAACGGTAAAAAAGATTAATGACCATTTAGAATTATTTTTCAAATTTTAGGGACAAAAAGTGTTCATTTAAAACTTCAGCGACAAGACCAATTATACACCTATCTCAAAGTTTAGGGACTAAAAGTGTTCCGTCTGAAAATACAAGGAGACAAAAATTTATTTTGCCCTGTATTTTATAATTATGCACAAATACCCATTCACATCTGCTTTATCAATCAATTTATTTTTTCTTTTTTTTTAAAGCTAAAATGTTATACAAATAATCCAAAATTATATTTCGGCTTAGGGTTTCTCTTTTAAATTTAAGGGTTTTATCGGCTCGCCTCTTTCTTCCTCACGGATAGCTCGTTTCCTCTGGTGCGGTGCGGTTTGTTCTTCTCTTTTACTTCTTCAAATTGAATCCATTTTCGTTCCACTTATCTGACTCCAAAATTTAGGGTTTTCGCTTTTTTGGTAATCACAACTGTATGTGTTCTTATGAAACACTGATCGGTTCTTTTAAAGCAGGTTTTCTAATTCTAAAGAAGTAGTTGATACACATATCAAGATGCAGAACGAAGAGGGAAAAATCACAGAGCTTTATATTCCCAGAAAATGGTTCGTAAGATTATTATTATTATCTTGCTTTGATGATTTTGTGGCTAATTTTCACATGGTTTGAACTTTATTAATGGCTTATTGTGTCGCTGATGCAGCTCTGCGACGAATCGGCTTATTACTTCAAAGGACCATGCTTCTGTTCAGATCAACATTGGGCATGTGGATGAGAATGGCATCTACACCGGCCAGTTCTCCACTTTTGCTCTTTGTGGTTTCATTAGAGCCCAGGTGATTTTTCCTTCCATTCCTCAGCCACTCTGTCTGTCTGTCTCGTTGTTGTTTTATCTGTAATATTTGATTAGCTGCTTCAGTTATTTACTCGCTTGGTCTCTTCTAGAGTATTGTGTATAGATTTGTTACTTCGAATTGGAACAGAACACATTATCTTACTCCTTGTTTTGATGTACAAAAAATCCAATTCAGTTCATGCTGACTTGGGATTGTATTTTGGTCTGTTATGTTAAAGTATTGTTTGAGAGTGATGAATTAATCTTGCTCATGATTTCATCCGTCGTTATTTGGTTTTAGTTCTCCTAGAAATGGTGTGCAATTGAGCATGGGTTATTTTTCCTTGCCCACTTGGTGCTCTTCTGGCTGTGATTTTTTGTACACGAACAGACGTCTGAGATGTTCGTTGCCTGTTTGATTTTGAAGCACCTATTTTGTGACTGGACTGCGGTAGATAATTGAAACTAATTATTGGCTGTTGACTAGTGAGAGAAGCCATGGTTGGTGTTTTGAAGGGGCGATTCCCCAACCCCCTGAATCGAGGTGCTCTTAATGAAGCACGCATGCTACTCAAGCCCAATTTTTTTTTATTAATTTTTAGAACTTTCCAACTTTTAAGGAAGAAATCAGAAATATTCTTAAAAAAGATGTTAGTTTTTCCCTACAATCTCTAATGGAAGCTTTCTAATTTCTTATACTATTTTTCTTCATATGTAAAGGAAGTATTTACATGCTCGTTTGGTAATGTTCTTGTTTCTAATTTTTTTAAGAAATCTATGAATTTTTGCAACTAATTATGTTTCTTATTTCTCATTTTTTCTGGGGAATATTCTCAAAATTGTATATTAAGTTTGGAAACAACAAAAACAAATTTTTCTTCCTTCTGGTTCCCATTTCCAATTTGGTTCTGAAACATAATTAAGAACATTGTTTCATCTTACTTGAATTCATGAATTTTGGGGCTATGCAATTTATTTTTCTTTATTAAAATGAAGAAACAGGAAAAAGAAATAGAAACTTACTAGTTACTGAACCAGCCCTACGTTTCTCTATTGTGTACCTCACGGAAAACGCTCGCCCTTGTGCTTCATGCTTGAGCTCTGGAAGATTATTTTGCTTTAATGTCCCTCACGCTTTTAAAAGTGTACTGGCCATGGGTAGAGTAAGAAGGTTGAAAGTGAACAAAAATATCCTGTCCATATCTAGTCTAGTTATATTTCTATCCCTACATTCTGAAATTTGGGCTGATGGGACTGGGAGTTTGAAGCTTCTGTCGATGTGAGATTGATGCTGCCAATCATTGTTTGTACTTGTCCATTGTCTCGTTATAGTTCAATCCCTATGCTTTGGAATCTGGCCTGATGGGCGTTTGAGGCTTCTATCATTGTGAGATTGGTGATTCTATGGTGGCTTGTACCATGTCTCTATATTCGGCCTTCTTGATTCTGTTCCACATGTTTCATGGTCTTTTCTGATATCAGCTTGTCTTAATCTTCAATTTTCATGTTCTCATTTTAGTTTTCTGTAACTATTGGGTAAACAATAATGAGTTCTCTATGGTGAATATTGATATACTTATGGTTCTTTCTCTTATTTTCGTGCAGGGAGATGCTGACAGTGCCCTGGATCGGCTCTGGCAGAAGAAGAAAGTCGAAGTGCGTCAACAATAGATGATTTGCTGTTCTGGTTCATCTCTATATCAAAGTTTTCAAAGATGGAGATACACTTTCAAAACTCTTCCTCTCGTGTTCTTCAAGTATTTTCTTTTGACAATTTAAACTCATTTATTTAAATGCAAACTCAACTACCGCTGAGACAGTCCAAGCTTTGATGGGCTATGAGAAGGTGAATGAAATATGATGAACTCTAATGTTCCTTGAAAATTTTTACCAGAGTGAGGTTCTATACGGAAAGGGTCGATATGGATCATTTACAGGTTTTGATAGATGGAAAATGTAGTTCATAAGGGAAGAAACATAAAATAGTTACAATTCAAATTCACTAGATAAGGGGACGAAAATGCTGTTACATGGTGGCATTTTTTGCTAGCACACTGATTTTTCTTGTGTCAGTTGATGTTAATAGGCTTGAATTCATCTGCACAGGTATAGTATAGCAAGTCTAAGAAAGAAATAAATGGCTGCCTTTGAGGGCTTCTTGTTTTTTGTTTTTGAGTTCAATTAGGGGATTAAATTCTTACTTTGTAAATCTTTATTTGGTCTATGAAACGTGTACTTTAGAAACTTAGTTTCATATAAATACATGAATTAAAAGTCCTCTATTTCTTAAATTATTTTGGTTTTACGTGGAAATGCATTTCTAATATAGTTAGTCAAATAGAAAATATCAACACGTAAGAGGAAGGTGTAAATAGGGCAATGACAAATCCGATTTCTTTGATTAAATTTTTGGAACCAAATAAAAACAACGTTAAAAAATATATTTGGTCTCTATACTTTCGCTAATGTAACAATATTTTTTTTTGGAAATTTGTGTGTTCGAGTTAGTTTGCGTGCACCTCGATTAATCATTGGTTTATTTGTAACGATTTAGTCCATGGAGTTTAAAATTTGCAACAATTTAGTCCCTATCGTAAAAATTTTTAATAAAATTAAGTGTCAAATTTTATCATATAATAATTTAATTTTTCTAATTCATAAATATAATTGATTCCTATTGTTACTTTAGTAAAAGTATACTAAAGGACTGAAAGTGCTTTTTAATCTAAAAACAAAGTGAACTGTAAAGGTAAATTAGAACTTGTAAAACATAGAAACTGAATTGAAATTACGCTAAAACTGGTGATTAAATTTATAATTCATAATTTATTTTACATTCATGCTTAACTTAATGACTCAATTTTGATCTTAAACTTTTAATTCCATCTCAGTCAGACTTTATGTGTGAATGTATGATAAGTTCATTACTATACAACTCTACTCGGTATTAAGAGAGAGTTGAGTATTAATACTACATCGGTATGTAGATCTCTTGTGTATACAAGTGTTTGTCGGAGCATTTGACATCAGAGTCAGAATTCAAATATTACCTCAACGCTCAGCAAATTTATTTATTTATTCAATTTTTTTATTCTTGATTTTGATATGTTATCCTATGCAAAAGAGTTAAAAGAGGAAGGAAAGGTCAAAGAAAAGGATCTCTCTTCTATGTTCATGTTGGGTGGTCTTAATTTGATGAAAGCCTCAAACTTGTTTTCTTCTATTCTTAGAACTCATTATTATCCATTTTGCTCTCACATGCATAGTTGAATTTTTTTTCCTTGTTGTATTAAACTAATGGTTCTTTCAGAGGCTGAAAAGCCAGTCGACACCAAGTTTGCCTCCTCCCTTCAGAGGTAGTTTTGTGGACCAAATATCAAAATATTTGACAATTTCTTTGATAATAAACAATTTTTTTTAACTTAATTGAAGCTTAAAATATGTTTAAGAAACGAGGATCAATGAATTTTCCATCCACTTTGATATCTTATTGAATAAAAATGGTGCTATTGTTCTTCCACTGATCAAGAATTTCGATTTTGGGGAAGCATCGTGATCATCCAATAAGATGAGTTTCAATTATTTCAAATGCATCAAGAACCATAATTTCAACCATCGTAATTAATATTGACACAATACATATAAGCGGATTAGTCTAGCTCCAAAGAAAAATTATTACCGATTGTCTCAAACCATAAATATTTGACAAATATTATTATTATTTATTTGATCATAGAACAAATAAATCGAAAAAGTCATAACTATAATAAAAACACTCGACCAAGAAGTTTGTTCAATCGGTAGAGAGAATGGCATACATTTCATATGGCTAAAGAAAAAATATTTATAAATTTTCTTTATAATTTTCTTTTTGAGATTCCAACTTCTCCATATTTAGTCTTTGCCATTTGGGCTAGTTTAACAATGTTTTATATTTTGGTTGTGTCCCTTCAAATAAAAAAGACAAAAAAATTAAAAATAAAAATAAAAAACGGATCTATCAATTTTGGCACATGTCTTCACAACACTTATTCCTTGACAAAATTAATAAACAATAGAAATATTACTAGAAAAACAATAAAAAATAAAAATAAATAGTGAATGATTCTTAGTAAGATTTTAAAGGTTCATGTCGAAAGAAACGTTGAGATTTCAATTTTGTGATAACATCAATGGAAATATTGATAAAATGTTGATGTTTATGAATATTTTAAAAAAATAATATAAAAATAAAAATTCATAATAAATAAATATTTAACTCTTTTTAAATAAATTTAAAATTATTATTATTAATAGTATGCTATATATTAATGATATTTTGCTTTATACTATGTAAATTTCTTTTTTCCATATTGTAAAAATGTCAAATTTGAACCAATCAACCAATAGAAATGTTGAATTCAACATTTAATTACCTTGATTTTCGTGTTTCCAAATTCAAGATTCTCTATACTTTTATTTTATTTTTATTTTTGTGACAGAAGATTCTCTGTACTTTCAAGTGAAAACAACTAAATTTATTACTTATTACTATTATATTTACTATCAATGTGTGTGTGTTATAAAATTATTCTTCATAATCATATCTTTTCAATTTACTCAACTTTTCATTACATTAACAATACTTGTGACTCTTTGTTAAAAAAAAAAAAAAACTTGTGACCCTGTCAGAAAAAAAAACTATATTTGTGAAATTAAAATTAATAAAATTGAGTACATAAAAATTACAAATTTAAAAATATGGAAATAAATTTAAGAAGTAAAATACTTCTAAATGTTTTGACCAAATTTTAGGAAAAAAACAATAGAATTTAAAGCATTATTTTTAAACTATAAATACAAAAAAGATTACTAATAAGCAAATAAAAATTTTAAAAATTAAAATTAAATGCTAAATGTAGTTTAGTTCTTAATGCCGGTGTCATTTTTTCTATTTGTATCCTAATCCTTCAAACGTTTCAATTTCATTATTCTATGTATAAGTTTTCTTAATTAATTTTTATTGTCTCATCAAATATAAAATTCATTAAGGATTAAAATATATTTAACATTAAAAAACTTAAACTATATTTTATCAATTGAATTAGATCACTCAAACTTTTAAGTAGCATGCCTCCGCTCATAAAATTGTAAACCAGCAAAAACATGCATTAAATCGTTATAAAAAATAAAAGAAAAAAAATAATCCTCAACTTTTAATATTGGTCCTATAGAAACACTGAGGTACATATAAAATAGTCTAGACACTCAACTACAAAAAAAAATCTCGAACATTAACCGTACATTTTAAAGTTTAAAAACCAAATCTGTAATCTAACATTTTTTAACATATAATAATATGATTTATTATTATTATTATGGACGAAAATATATTTTTGGTTAGTGATATTACCGACAATTTTAAACGCGGTATCAATTGTTATTATTTTATCTCATGGCATTAAAGAAAGGAAAGACATTAGAAAAAAATGAAAAATACATTAAAAACGAAGTTATGATAATTAAGTTAAGATAAGAAACAAAATATGTACGAAAGGGAGAGTAATTAATTAATAAGTTAATAACAAAAAGCGGAAGATTGAATGAGGTTGAAGTTGAGGCGTAAAAAATGGAATGGCAGCGAAACAAAAATTGGTGAAGTCTAAATTTAGCAGAGCGTGTTCGTGGCCATCCATCCAAATGCCTCCCCCCTTGCCTTTAACGTACCCCTCATACAGATTCTCCCACTTCTCTCTCCTCTCCCAGATTTTTTTTCTCTCACTCACTCATTACTTCTCTCTCTCTCTCTCTCTCTCTCTGTATGTGTAGTTCTACGTTCACTTCTTCTTCTTGCTCTTCTTCTCGCTTTCGCTTTTGAGGATCGCCGTTCGCTCCAATTCCGTCTGCTCCTCAGGTTCGCCTCTGGTTTTTTCATCTCTGTTTCTGCTCTTTTCTGTATGCTTGATAATGACTGTTCAATCATCAATCATCAATATCGGCGGCTTTTGCAATATATCTATATATATTTGCTAGTGTCTTTTCGAAGTATTTTTTTTGTTGATTGAAGCATATTCTGCTGGTTTTTTGTTTTGTTTTGTGGTGGCTGCGCTGTTGCGTGTTGAGTTAGGTTATTTTTGCTGCCTTTTTGTTCTTCTCTGGATTGGCGTTTGGTTGATTTAATTATCGGGTTTTTGTGTAGGCTGTGTTGATGATTTTCTGTTTTGAGTTGTCACTGTGATTACTCGTTTGGTTGGCTGACGGTGATTTTTGTGAGCTTGATTAGTCTGTCTGTCTCTTTCGTTTTTCGTTTGAAGTGCATGTTTAATCCATCTGTCCATGACTGTCGTTGAAGTCCGAGAATCTAATTGTTGAAGTATGGAGTGGTACTTTGTATTTCTCTGTTTGATTTTACTATGCATGTTTGACCTTAGTTTGTAAAAAGAAAAGTAAAGATGACAGAAGTTGTAGTAATCATAACTGGTTTTAGTCATGTTAATTGAATATGAATGAGAATAAAAGGGAGCTGGATTATGAATTTTGTTTAAGTTAAATGCGATTTCATTGTACTACTGAATTTTATATAAACTGGAGTCTGGGAAGAATTTGGGAAAATAAGAGAATCTGACGAAAGGCGCAAAACAAGTGGATTGTTGCAGCAAACGTGGACTTGATGCTACAGTAATTTCCTTATATTAGATGTTTTACTTGCTTTGAATTGCTCTTGACTCTTGAGAAACTCCCGACGGAACTAGGCATGCATAAATGCAATTAGATATTTGCATTTGTCAACTAATTTCAGAAATAATGGACCCTTCAATTTTCAGCCAATCATACATACTGGGTCGAGAACAGTACAGTGCCCCCCCCAAATTCTTTACAGTTTAACGTCTAAATTTCAAGTATCTTTTCATTTATTTTGGCGGTATAAAAGGTCATCCCTTTTTATTTTTTTCACGATAGGAAACAAAGGTATAAGACCTTCCAAATCTGACTGATAATTTGGAAATGCTGCATAGTAATTTAACCTTGACATTTCTTTATGAAGGGGCATTAAAAAAGAAATGCATTTGTTGTAACAGTTATTTAGTATGCTGCAAGCAAAACCCGAGGGAGAGCTTGAAGTTAGCTTTGGTTATCAATGCAATGGTATCATAAACGGCATTCATGAGGTTTCTGACAAGATCGAGATCCAGCCGCCCGGACTTCGAAGGGTCAGCAGTTTCTCTTGCTTATCTGGGGCTGCCTTGAGTGCAAATGCCACCCTAGCAAACACAAATATATGCAATGGGTTGATAGGAATAGAAATACTGCCGACCTGGGACTCTCCTAACTCCTTCCGCAGGGTTCCCTCATCACCTACTCTTTCAAGGTTGGATATATTGTCATCGTCTCTGCAGAGTAGCCTGTCAAACTTAAGTTGCAGTCCAACGACCCCAACATCCGAATATGATTCATATTTGTTGAAATCCATGAGTGCTCCTTCTGGAAGCGAAGGTTTTCTTAATGTTAAGGAACTGCAAGTGGCAGGTGGAGCTGCTGGTGAAGACAGGGTCCAAGCTGTTTGTTCTGAAGAAAATGGATGGCTATTTTGTGCAATTTATGATGGTTTTAATGGAAGAGATGCCGCTGATTTTCTTGCTGGCACATTGTATGAAACCATCGTATTTTATTTTAACCTACTAGACTGGGGGAATGAAACCGCCTACGACGGTTTGGACACAGATAATTCACATCTTCTTGATGATAGTAGTATTACTCATGGAAGATTTTCTCCTTTAAAGAACAATAGTAAAATTGCTTCTGATATCAATAATATCTTCGAGAACCTTTCACATGCCGAAGCAGGAATGTCAACTAATCATCTAAGGCATGGGGTGCTCGATAGCCTCCAGCGTGCTCTTAGTCAAGCAGAGAATGATTTTCTGCACATGGTTGAACAGGAAATGGAGGATCGTCCTGATTTAGTTTCTGTCGGATCTTGTGTTTTAGTGGTGCTTCTTCATGGAATGGATTTGTATACGCTAAATTTAGGTGACAGTAGAGCAGTACTAGCTACCCTTGATGAAGGTGCTATGAAAGGGAATGGAGGACTGAAAGCTGTCCAACTAACCGAGAGTCACACTGTGGATAATGAACTTGAGAGAGCACAGTTACAACATGTTCATCCTGATGATCCTGCAACCATCGTTGGTGGCAAAGTCAAAGGAAAACTGAAGGTGACTCGTGCTTTTGGAGTTGGCTACTTGAAGACGGTACGCGACAGTTATACATTGCGTGCCTGTCACTATGGCCATAATCTCAAAAAGAAACCATTTTCCTTTTTGTGCAGTGTATAAAAAGTTATTTAATAAATAAAATAGCCTCAACATCGTAATATGCTAGTAATGATGCAGATTGATAAACGAAATAGAATCTTTTGTAACTGTTTTTTGGCCTTTTGAAAACATTTTGTGCTTGGTATTCATGATAATCGATAATACCTGCTTGATATTTTACCTTAAACTATGCCTTAACCATGCATGTTCTTTCGTATCCACCAACCGTTACTTGTAAGGATTCTATCTATTTTGCTCCTGTCACTTTCGAGCTCATTTGACCTTGATGAATCCATATCATCTCTGGACAGAAAAATCAATATGCATGACCACTTTACAATAGGACATAAATTATCAGGTCGAAGTTTTTATGATAGTATCAACGTTAAAAATGGTATTTGTGTCTAAGTGAACCAGGTAACCTAGTCTGCATTGCTGGATATTATTTTAACCCATCTTAAGTTGATTATTATACATTTATTTCTCTGCAGAAAAAGTTTAATGATGCTTTGATGGGTATTCTTCAAGTTCGTAACCTAATTAGCCCTCCCTATATTTCCACTCAACCGGCATTGTCTGTCCATAGGATATCAAAATCAGATTGCTTTGTTATAGTTGGCAGTGATGGTTTATTTGACTTTTTTGGCAATGACGAGGCAGTGAACCTTGTCCATTCATATATCCTGAGCAACCCAACTGGTGATCCTGCAAAATTTTTGCTGGAGCAGCTCTTATTGAAAGCAGCTGATTGCGCAGGTGAACTCCAAAGATAGTTTTCTGTAATGTTTGAATCGTTTCCCAAATTACATTAATGGAAGTCAATTTTTATTTTTTATTTATTTGTCTTTGGCATGATATTATCATGAATTCACGATTGAAAAAATAAGCTCACTACTTATAAGTACATTAGTTGTATATTGACCATGGGCTAAAGAATGAACTTAGTCATTCAAAATGTTGTTAGCCAAGTTAAATTTTCAGTTGGTTAAATTGGCAATTTTCTAACAAAGTTTCAATATATATCTGAATGTTTGGATGTGCTGTCCTAGTGGTTTTTTATTTCCTTTCTTTTTCAAAAAAAAAAAAAAGATGAATTCTTTGTGAGAAGATATTATATTTAAAACTTTGACATTTTTGGTGAAAAAAAACATAGAAGATATGGGGACTATTGCTATCATTTCATACCCGACGAATAGACTGGTAACGTGGGAACAAGTTGAGGCTGGAGTACCGTTGCTGCTTTTAAATTGTATTCTTTTAGCTGTTCTGACATAGTATACTTCTGGAGAAGTGTCCTTTATACAATACAAGACAAGTCATTATTGAAGTATATAACTGACATTGATTACAAGTTCAGTGAAAACACTGCTCTTCAATTCTGCCATTTGCACGGCCGAAGAAATTGTACTGATCTTATTTGGACTATCAATTTAATTAGTAATGTTATAATGCCTTATAATGCCTTTTCTTTTTCTTTAATAACTATTATGAGTTTTCTTAGGTAGGTCAATTTATTTTTCTTTCACAGTGCATTTTATAGGTTGAGACGCAGTCTTTTGGTACAAGTTTGACTCATCTTGATATTAACCTTGACACATTAGCTGATTGAACTTTGAATACAACTATGCAAGTCAGGACCTTTTCTCGAAAAACACAGGATCGTAAGAAAAGCTGAAGGCAGTGCAGGATTTAGTAGTTATTGAAATACAGAAGAATGCAATAATGACCTACCCACACACGCATTAATTTGTTATACAGCAACTACTCCAAAAGAAAATCGAGGGTGTTTAGTAATATTGCTCAAAAGTAAACTAACCTTTTGCTGATAATTTAAAATTTCATTTATCTGTTATCAATCGGTGCTGATGATGTATGAATTTATGTTTTATAGGTTTTAGCAAGGAAGAATTAATTACCATTCCTGCCGGCAGGAGAAGAAAATATCATGATGATGTAACTGTTATTGTAATCATCCTTGGAACAAACCAGCGCACCACAAGAGCATCTACCAGCATGTAAGCTTAAATTTGGCTGCTTTTTGCCTTGCATTAGCTAATTTTGTTCCATAGTTTTACTCTGTAGTGGTAGTCCTCATACCATGTTTATCTATGAGAGGCAGTTGATTAAGATTTTTGATAGGGTGCTATATTTCTTTGCATTATTTAGCTCAAAATCTGATTAAAGAACCTTTTGTTCTCAAATCAGGTTCTTGAACCTTTACAATAAAATACCTTCTAATTACAGTGAAGGTTCCTTAGTTCTTAGAGATAGTTTGCTGAAAGATTGAAGAACAATTAAGTTTGGATGTAACCACAAAGATCAGTTGCTATAGTCTTTGCTTTGAGTCTGAATATAAATGGAAGTGCTTTTCACTTAAACCATTGTTCCTTCTCATTACAGTCAATCTTTTGGATCATGTTATAACTACCAATCTTTGCTGTGGATATGCTTACCTTAAGATGCAACTAGTGGATTTCTTTTTGGGTCTATTAGATTCTGCATCTTAGATTGATAAAATTAACCAAGTTTTGGATCTCGCAAAGGCACTAGCTAGTAGCTGCTAAGAACATTTCCATGTTCTGGCATTGTTGACCTCTGTATGTGTACATCCTTCTGTGGGGTTCCCGAGTGATTGTGATGGTTTATATTCCCCTTCTCCCTGTATAGTCTGTCTGCAAATATCCTTCCATTCTTAAAAGGGGAATGGTCATTATCTTTTTTTACTAACGATGGCTCCTAAATAAAATTTTCTCACAAACTGGTTGGTCCAAGATGCATACAAGATTAGGAAAAAATGATTCTTGGAATGCTAATAATATCGTTTTTTTCCGAGTTGCATGGGTCAAAAGATGCTGAAAGACTCCAGAGATTACATTCTATTTTGACTCTCTGTGATGGAGGGCAAATGGACTTGTTGTTCTATTCTCTTTTGACTATTTTCCTAGTTAGCTTTAGATATGCTAATGTCAGATCGGGGGTTTTCATCTGAGTGGAAACATTTTAGTTTAAAAGAAACCTCAAATGCTTAATGCTGTTCAAGTTTTGTAAGGATCGCTCTACAAAGTTTACTTGGATTGTTCAAAAAGAGGCAAAATATCCCAGCTTTGAATTTCAACAAATGTACTTATCGCGCTTGAAAATTTGAAAATTTGAATAATTTTCTAGATTAGTCGAAGAAATCACAAAGCTTCTGCAAAAGTTCTCATTTGGTAGAGAGCACAATAACCCTAATGTTCTTTCAACTCAAAAACTAGAAGCACCCAACCCTTCAAAATTCAGCTACCTGCTAACCTTATTCCGCCATTTTGGTTCTCACTCATGTGCCTCTATATTCTCATGCTTCGCTGATTTACTACGTGAAATCAGCACTTCAAATTAACACCTGTCGTTGATTTGAGATTGGCTGGGTATTGGTAGGTCACATGATGAAGCATCCATGGGCATTTTCTTCACTGAAATAATCTAGGCAGTTCTGCGGCCTTGCTTGATACTCATAATTTCCTGTCTGGTCATTTGAATATGGAAAGGAAATCGGCGGAACATGGTAAAGGAATTCAGGACCTTTACCTGAAACCGGCGCATCGTAATTTAACCCCAATATGGGCGTAGGGAAATAATAACCCTTTGGGCCCGAGTATATCTGTTGGGCCAGTGGGTTACCATTTTTTAGGCCCACATCTGGATCCAGATTGAGCGCCCCATTCCCATTTCGGGGGTTTGAACCCGAATTGTCACTATTGGTGTTATTACCTGGTTGCCCCTTCTTTTTCTTCTTTTCACCACCACTTTGCCCTGTGCCACTTTTGTTTAGACAACCCTCATGTCCAGTAGTAGTATTGCCCTTGGAGTTGGACGCCGGCGGCGCCTCCCCGGCCGTGGGCTTGTTGGGAGAGTTCCCATTGTTCTTTGACTTTTCAGTCTGTTCTTCCCGGTTATTCTTAACAGGGCTGAATTTAAACTCAACCTTCTTCGCTGGAGTAGTAGTACTCGGACTTCTTCCATTTTCTTGGCCATTCCCCTTGTCAGTCTCTAACGTCTTGATGAACTGTTTTCCTTTTTCCGCTGGCTTTTCCGGCCAAATTTCCACGTGTTTACGTGCTTTTCTCAGCCTCTTGGTCAGCTTCTCAAGACTGACATTTCCGGTGACCGTAACTTTCTGTTGTTCTGAGTCAATAATGGTCGTATAGACACCTACAAGATTAAGAAGGTCGTCACTTCGAAGCTTTAGACCGAGGGCCACTTCCAAAAGTATCCAAAATCCTATATTTGGCTGGTAAGAAAACTAACATGGAAAAAATGGAATTTACTTCATCCGTTCCAGCTATTTCCCACACATTTCACTACAAACTAAAGTAGTAAAAGAGTACAATAAGGAATGGTACCATCAATGCTCTGTAGAACTTTCTTAACTTCCCTCTTGCACCCTTCACAGTGCATAGAAACTTTCAAGACCCAGACCTGTAAACAAAAGAAGGGATGAGCCAAGGATGCCCGAGAAGTAGAAGAATAAGAAGAAAGTTAAAAACTTGCCGACGGGAAGGCATGTTAATTGTTACCTGTGCTCTAAGCGGTTGTGAGGCTGCTTCAGCACAAACCACAGCCATTGGAAGGAAAGTCCCAGTTCCACTGTCGTCAAAAGGAGATGAATGACCAAAAATCTTCTGGTTCAGAAAGAGAGAGAAAGAGAGAGATTGAAAGTGAAACTATAGAATCGACGAGCCAGAGCCATTGTTCCATGGCAATGTTATATACATGATATTGAAGGTCGAAGGAAGGAGGGAGTTCGAAAAGAGCAATGTTCTATCGAGAAAATGCCAAAAGATAGCAGCTGCTTTCCAAGCTTTCTCCCCGTAATTATAGTGGAATTTAAAAGCAGGCTGCCAGGTTTCACTCTCTCCCAACAAAAATCCTGGAAACTCTAAAACTCTTTAACAATTTAAAATCATGCATTAAATGGGCCTTTTATCAGCTGAACTACTCCCTCTTTAATCTAGATTGTGACCCCCATTATTTAATCTCCCTCTGTACCACATTTCAAGATTGATTAATCTTTTTCTCATTCCCACCCAATTTAAAATTCTAAATCTCCTCCCAATTAGCGACCCCTACATTCATTCTCAGCCGCTGCCTTTTCAAACTTGCTGCAGTCCATCCTATTGTCCTTGGCATTAATGAAGAGAATGGATCGTAGGAATTAAGAAAATCAAGATTGTCCTATGAGGGTCATATCCCTGTGTCAAACTTGAGGAATCTCTTCCACAGCCATCCAATATTTCTTTTCTTCCACGTTCTAGATTAGATTTTGTTTTTAAAGTTAGTTTATGTCTTATAGTCTACTTCCTAAGAACATTTTCTTAAATCTTTGCCAAATTTTAGAAACTAGAGAAATCGGGTTTTTCTCCTCTAAACACCTAGTTTTAGTTTTTGAGATTTGATTAAGATTTCAAACATAGAAAGCAAAGTACAATTAACTTAATATTCTTGCATTATCAAGAAAAAGGGCTATGAAAAGTAGTGGAAAAAAGAAATAAACTAATACACCATTCTTAGAAAGAAACAAGACATAACCTACCAAACAAAAGAGTTCAAAGCATAGTACGAGAAAGAAATCATTAGATGGGTTGTAATTACAAATGTAGCTACCACTCCTATAATCACTAAATACGTATAGCAAAAACAAAACAAAACAAAACAAAAAAGAAAGTGCTTCCTCTCTCTCTCTTATGCATTCAATGATCCTGGTTAAAAACCATTGTTTCTCTCTCTAAACAAAAAAGCCATCCCCTTTAGGTAGACGTGCGGCCATCTCCTCGAGAGTAAAGGCAAGTAGTTAAGGTGACAACACTCCATCCAGATAGCCCCAGGAAATAACTTTGTGTGCAAATTGGCAAAAATAATGGAATGAAAAATGAGGTGATGTGAAGAGTAAGAGCTGTCCCATTTTCCCACGCCATGTGAGATTTCCACGCAACATAATTTTTGACAGAGAAAGGAAAGGTAAAAGGACAACACAATTAACTATGTAGATGAAAACCTCTCTCTATCTCTCTCTGTGCTGTAGCAGTTCCAAGTCTTGTTGACATTAAGGTGGTAGTTGGTCTTCTGTATGACACCATATTTACTTCTTCTTTCTCTCACAAAAACTGCTGATCGTCACTTTGTCAGCAAACTTCCCTTCCCTTTCAGTCTCAGCTCCCCCTACTTCTTCCTATAGAATATTTGCAGAGGTACAAAACTTGATCCTGATGATTCAGGAAGAAGCTCCTTTTGAATTCATGGGTGGTCCAATAATATATAAATAAGTGTATTTTTTAGTTTTGTATATTTACTATGTGATTCACCTATCTATATGTTATTGGACCACATAGAAATTTAAGAGGAGCTTCCTCCTGAATCTTCAAGAGGGAAGTTTTTTCCCCTGTGGATATATGTTTAGTCTTACAAAGCCCCTATAACTGACACAAAATGTTGATTTATATGATATTGTAAATATAGTTTTCTTTCTTAAACCCTCCATTGTTCTGTGTTTGAATTGGAAGCCTAAATTTGTAGTCTATGTTTGAACTGTGTAGAGAAATAGGTTTCGAAATTAAACCAATTTACATGTATAGCTTGTGTTTTGTTTTGGTAGGTTTGTGATTTGGAAAAGAGTAGTATATTTAATTATATATCTCTATATGAGATGAATTTTATAAATCTAGATTTATATAGTTTGGGTTTATGTAGCTTCGGGTGATTAGATTAGTAAATCCGAAGCTCTGAGCAAGCCAAATCTCACTTGCCATATGTCCTAGATTAGCTTAATAATAATCGGTTCATTTTCACTGATTGCATTAGTTGATTAACCTAAATATTGATTAAGATAACTATTGGTTGACTCATATTCTACTTATGTCGCATTTACCACTATTTTTTATGGCTATTTTTTCAGTATTAAGGCTCAATTATGCTAGATTTGAAACCTACGTTTTTTTTTACATGGGAGGTTACTGCATTTAGAACATATTTATTTAGGTTAAAAAACACGTTTGACCTAGATTTAATCTATGGACTTTTAAATTGGTAATAATTTAGTATTAACAAATTAGTTATTGTAGTTTATAATTTGTAACGATTTAATTGCTATTGTGAAAAATTTCATTAAAATTAAGTGTTAATTATTCTATAATGATTTAGTCTTTGTGATTTATAAGTACATTTGGTCTCGCGTCAAATTTTCATTCTACATGTATAAGAAGCAAATTTCGCTTAAATTATTACAAATTTTAAACATTTTATATACTAAAGTTTAGGATCTAAATTGTTATAAATTAAATTTCAAGAATTAAATTATTATTCTACAGAGACTAAAAATGTTAAAAATTCGTACATGAACTAAAAATGTTTTTGGTTTTTTTATCCTATTATTGAGAAGGGAAACTTGGCTAAACAACAAGGGAAGGGAGATCCTACGGCACTATATTTGAGAGCAATTTTAGAATCTATATTTTCGACTTGCTATTTTTAAAAGATGTTCTCTCTTATTTTCTTTCGGTTTGCTTTTTGTTTATGATATTTCTTAAAAACATTAATTAAAATCTCTTGTGAGATGTCAATGTCAATAATAATTTTAAGGGACAATAATTATAACATTTATAACCCACCAATCAATAATTCTTAAAAATAGAATTGAAGACAACAGTGAAACATTTTTCTCAACAACTTACTTTCAGACGAGATTTGATTTTATTGATTAAAAATAGCAGTGTGATGTACTTGTTTTTTAAATATATTATAAACCTAAATAAATAAAATGAGCCAATAAAGTTAAATAAATAGGAGCGAAATTTGTTAGTTGAGAAATTCATAATTGATATTTTAGAAGACGAGAAAATTAACTCATCCCACCAACCCAGCTTCGAAAAAAGTAAATCATAAAATTATGAATGTTGATGTGCGTGTAAAGGACAATTCAAAATTAATGCTTAATTAATGTGGAAAAACTCATCAAAATCTTCAATATTTCTACATAAATCAATAGTTTTTATTTTAACTTTTTTAAAATTCAAGGAGAGGGCGGGATAGATAAGTAATAATAATTATTACTTATTTTAGTCTTTGTCATCAATTTGCTGCTTAATATACCCATGCTTCTTCTTTTTTATTTTTATTTTTTTTTATATATCTACGAGTACTAAAAAAAAAAAAAGTACCCAACCTAATTTGCATACATCTCGACTAATCTCATGGGACAACCGTTTGACCCTACAATATTTTGTGTCAAGAAACATATAAAAATTAATTCTTAAAGTAAGTGACCAACATGCGATTTGAACTCATTCTCTCTCAATTTACTCTAACCCTTGGATTAATAAGCCACCTATAATGGTAGATACCCCATATTCCTCTCAACCAGTATTTTCAACATTTTCTTTATCGCCGAACTACAAAGTCTTTAGTTTTTTATATATACGTTTTGCATTGCGACCAACTAAGGGATTGACCTTCTCCTCTGCCCTGCCCTTATCTATATGTTAACATATTTATATACATATTCAAAGACATTAAAATAGAGATTTTAAAAATTCAATGGCTAATATTTGCAACTCAGGACAAAAAATGAAATCTTAACTTAGTTATTATCTCACCAAATTACTGAATGAATACAAATATTATCTTCATTCTTTTGTTTTTTTAATACAACATGAGAGAGTGAAACTCATGATCTTTTGATCGAAAAATACCATTATCTTCTTCAATTAGTAATAGCAATTCGCCATTTTCATAACAGTTTGTAAAATAAGACGAAAAAGAAAATATTAATTTCATGCAAGTCATTCCTTACCTCATAATTTCGTATTATTCTTCTCCAAAGCAACATTATGGTAGTGTAAATCTAATCCCATTAAGCATGTGCTTTTATGTCATTTCAAGAAATTGTACTTGAGTCATCTAGAGATGAGAATTTCTTGAAGAGAAAATGGATAAATATTAAACTTATTTAAAATAATTACCTACATTCGTTTCTTTTTTATTTCTTCATTATAACTACAAGGGTGTAACTTTTTTCGGTAGGACCTGTCTCAAATGGAATAAAAAATCCCCAACTTATGAGGGGCATGAGCAGAGATGAGAGAGGAGAGGAGATAAAATTTTTCCCGTGACCTAAATGGGGATAAGAACAAGGAACCTTGTTCTTCATCCCATTCCCTCCCGGTTTACATTTCCACTTATATTTATATATAAACCCTAATCCGAAATATTTCTATATGAAATTTATTATACAAACAATAATATTCGGATGTAAAATTTATTAGACATTGTTGTTATGTTTGCATTTTAAGACCAGTATATCTTATAATTTGAATGGTTAAATTTAAATTTAGAACTTATTTTGTAATGAATTATGTGTCATTGTTAGAAAATTTAAGAGTTTTTCCTTTTAAATGAGAATTTTCAAGAATTAAAATTTAATTGATAACTTCTTAAAAAAAATAATAATAATAAAAGAGGAATAATTCTTGACTATCCCCACGTGAGGAATTTTGTGAGGATGGTGAATAAAATGGACAGCGGGAACAGGTATGACGGGGAAGCCATCCCATTCCCACTCCGCCCCGATAACACTCCTATACATTATTGGTAAAGATTAAAGTAATTGTGGACCTAAAATATTTATTCACAAACCCATGATTTTGAAAGAACAACCTCAACCTCAACCTCAACTCTCAAGTACTCCAAACAAACACAAATCAAGAGAGAACTACTTTCCAGAAACTACTTACACATACATTTACTAAAATCTCAGTTCAAAAAGCACACAAAGAAGCAGATAACTAATTTGAAAACCTCATTCAAGTGGACCCTTAGGTTCAGGCCCAGGTGGAAAATGCTAGCTATCTTAGGTTTCAGAAGCTGCATTTTATGACATTAAATCAGTCAAAGTGATCACAACAACACGGTACAAATGGACTCCATAGATATTAAGAGAGAGAGAGAGAGAGAGAGGGAGAGAGAAAATGGAGACTCCCATAGAACCTCAATGGGAAATATTGAAAAGAACCCCATTACAAAGATTGAAATTTAAATAAAAACATGATGCAAAACAGGTAAGATGTGGAAATCCATTGTGACATAACCAACAAAACAAGAGAGGGCAGCTAAAGGCTATTTTCTCATGGAATGAAAAAACTTACAACATACATTCTACAAAGTGCCTCTTAATTTTCAGCTTCATTCCCCTTGTCCTCTGTTAAGGCATGTCCATCCTTAACCTCGTTTGCATCGTGTGCTTCCTTGTCACTGCTTTCTGCTATAGGATGTTGACGTTGAGTCTCGTCATTGTCCATGGAAACATCCTGAAGCTGCCAACATTTGTATTTTCCTTTAGTTACGGTTAATATATACGGTAAGAGAGGGGTGAGTTGGAGGTGTTTCGAGGAAATTCATCTGCACATTCGGGTAGTAAAATCATAGAATTAGAACTTACACCCAAGTTCCTCAGGCTAGCAGTCACATCTTCTTGTTGCTGCTGAAGGGTAGTCCTTAGTTCTTCGAATTCCTGCTTTTATGCTACAAATTTCATACCGTTTTGAATACCACTCAAAAGTTCAAAAGCATATTCAATCTATGAAGCATTTCTTACCGTACGAAGGTTCTCTACCTCAACATTTAGCGATTTCTTGAGTTCCGAGAGTTCCTGCATGAAGCATTGAAGGAATATATCAGGTGCTGCCGTAATATACAGATACAAAAGCAGAAAATAAAGAAAATATCTATGACCAACAAAAGGAAAAATCACACTACCATTAATATCCGATCTTTCTGTTTTTCTTCTTTTTTTGTAATAACCGAGGTATTAAGGGATTAAATAATAAATGTCCTATGTTGAAAACATTAGCAGGCTTGAAATCTCTTTGAATCACCAAGAATCAAAATTTCGAGTCTACTCAGACTTGTTTATGGATCATAAAACTCAAACACAAACACAAGTATCTTAAAACATGGCACTGCGGCGCGCAGTAACAATTCCTTATATAAAATATATGAATACATAGAAAAGAAGAAGATAACAAGCAATATATTAACTTACACTGCGGTAGGTATTAACTTGCATGTCAAGTTTTGACCTCCAATTCTGGAGATCCTGAAATGCTCAAACACAAGAACAAGTTTACAGAATCAGAGGGGAGGAATAACTAAACGAGAAAAGACATACATTGTAATCGGGCTCACAGTAAGGACATTGCGTATTTAGATTTCACCTGTTTTAGAAATTGAATTCTACTATGCAACTCTGCTCTTGATTCGTTCAATTCCTGAGAACATACATGTCAAATTTCAGAAGATTGGGTTTGAATCACAGGTATCCCCTATCCCAAAAAACCTTTAATCTTTCATATCTATCCTTAACACTTTCTCTCGCCTTTGAGCTTGCTAAAATAGAACAAAACTCAACAATTAGACTATTATATGAAATGGAAATGGAGAGGAAATACTCAATGCTTTCTACTCCAATACCATGTTAAACTACTGCTATACTCCAAAATCCAACTAATGCAGTTAAAGCATATTTAACATTTTATATACGTTCTTAACCCTCTTTAGTTATCCACTATCTGAAAAGTCCCAAGGATATATTGTACACAAGCCAGAGTCTCGACCAATCAATCCTAATTCGCAACTTCAAATGATGAACAATTAGGTGCTCAACTATCCCACAATCGAAGTCCAGAATCTCAACATCGCAAACAATAGTAGAATTCAGAAATCAAGTTGAGATGATAAAATAATACCGTAATTTTCGCTCCAATGGGGGTCAGATTCTCCTTTCTCTAGCACCAAGAGGAACAGAACACAACAATGTTAGATACAAACAGTAAACGCGTAGTAAGTAATTGCAAGAACAAGTTCGTATGTCCGAAAGCAAATCGGCCGTAATTAAAAACCCAAATCGAAGAAAAGCAACGGAACGCACTGCTGAGAGAGGAGAGGGGGCAGGGACGGAGGGAGTGGGAGAGTCGGCGTCCGCCATTGCAGCAGGGATCGAATCGGCTCGAAATGGAGATGGGAAGATGTGGAAACTGCAAAATCACAATCTGGGGGGTGCTCGAAATTAGGGTTCAGAAGGGGGGTGGGTGAGATCGAAATCAAAATTCAAAAATTGAGGAAAGAGAGAAATTGGAGGGAATCGGGAGGAAGAAAGAAGAAAAAATGAGAGGAAATTGGGAATGGTGGAGTGCGTAGAATCAAAGATTTTGAATTTTGAATCCAAAACCCAATGCCACGCTTCACCACTTTGCTCTGTCCCCCCCCTTTGTGTCTAGAACTGTACGGAAAATGTGACTCTCAGAACAATTAAAAGAAAAAAAAATATTTAGGACATTTTTTAACGGATAAATTAACCTTTTTTTTCCTTTAAATTAATTAAAAATCTACAATATCGGTCTTGGTTAACTTCATGGTTCTAAATATCCGTCGAAAGATCGACATTTCCATCGACATATCCATGTTTTCGTGGATTTGACATCGACATGAAGGATAAATCGACATTTTCATCATAGTACAAGAAAATCGGCAAAATACGAAAAATATCAATAAAATGTTACTAACATAGTAATATATACATAATATTAATATTAATTATTTTAAACTAATTTAGAAATAGGAAAATGTTTATTAGTTAATTTAAATATTTTTTTATAATTTTTTAATTTTTCTAACTTTTACACAAATATCTATCGACATCGACATATTATCGATATTTCCATGAAATTGAGAGCTCTACATTTCCATCGACATCAATATTTAAAACCTTGGACTTAATTTTATGGTATTAAATATCGGTCGACAAATCAGACATGTACATCGACATTTTCACATATCCATGAGTTCGACATCGACACGAGGTAAATCGAAATTTCCATTATATTACAAAGGAAAATCGATAGAATATGAAAAATATCAACACAATATTAATATTCATCATTTTAAACTTATTTAGAAATAGAAACATGTTTACCTGTTAATTTAAATATTTTCTACGATTTTTTAATTTCTCTAACTTCTATAGAAATATTCATCAATATCGACATTTTAGCGATATTTCCATTGATATGAAATTGGACCTTGACATTCCTAGACATCGACATTTAAAACTTTGAACTTATATAAAATAACCCTAAATTTTAGGATAGGCTTTTATATTATTCCTAAACCTTCGAAATCATTTTTACTTTTAAATTTTAAACTTGTTTTAAAATTATCCCTTTTGTCAACTTTTCTATTAAAATAAAAACATAAAAGTACCCATTTGAACATAGGTTAAAGACATGGATTATCAAAAGAAAAGTAGACAAAAGGATAATTTTAAAACAAGTTTAAAATTTAAAAGTAAAAATGGGTGTGGGGTGTTGATCTGGCAATTTGAAATAAAAATTAATGGGTGAATTATTGGGTTGATTAGATTTTGGAATAATTTTAGAAAATATTAAAAAAAATTTAGTACAATATGGGGATCGAACTCACAACTTTTTGGTTAGAAATATTATATTTTATTTTAAATTCGTGTAAGTTACGTTGCCATAGTTTTTAAATTCTATGTTCTAGTCCCAAGTAGCTCAACCGAGATAGAATTAAATTATTCTCTATCTTCCATATTTGAACTATAGTGGTGAAATAAGAAGGAAAAAAAAAAGAAATCGACCTGTAAATATTTTTTTTATTTCTAAATTTGATCTACGAATTGTGATGGAATAATTTGTAAAAATTATAATTATTGTACACTTAGCAACTACTTTTTTTTTTAACAAATTTAAACATAGTTAACTTGTTAAAAATAACATAAAAGATCAAATTTCTCACCTTCATATATTGTTGAACTCAAAAGGAAAAAAAAAGTATCTTTTTTAATTGTGAAAACTATCTATTTAACATAATTATTTACCTCTAATCATGAGGGTGTGAGTTCGATCTCCCAACCCCACGTGTTGTACTAAAAAAACATAATTATTTACCAAAAAAAAACAAAAAGAGAAAGATATATACTAATGAATGTCACTCAGTTGTTTAACTTGTTTTCGTGTATTTTCTCTGTTTACTGTTTAAATATAATAATTAATTATTTTTAAGTATAGCTTCATTTGAAATGTATTATATATTTCTTGTAAAAAAAATTTAATTAATATAAAACATAAATACAAACAAAACACAATTATAAAATATAAATCTTTATATATTTTGTTCATTTATCTAATTTGTAGATGTTTGTATAATTTGCAGACTAAAAAAACACTTAAATTTAGGAATCAAAATAAATAAATAAAAACTTCTAAATTTTAGAGATTAAATGAAGTATCATTTACTATGAACAAAGTGATATTTTTTAAGAATATAGTAATAAAACTTTAGAATTAGACAAATGTCTTTTACGGAATTGATCATATAATGAACCATTCCTATAAGGATTTCAAAGAAATAAACCTAGCTAGACAATTAGGTTTAGACTCAATTATCTTTTCTTTGATTTAATATCAATTATAAATATATTATTGTGCTAATCTTTCTTTTTAATTACAATAACAATAAATTTTAATTTATTTTATTAATAGTAAATATTTTTTCAAATAGATTTTTGAAAAAACATGCACTCCAAATCAAAATTGAGATTATAAATTAAAAAAAAAAACCCATAATTGGAATATATTGTGATTAGTGAGATGAAACAATGAAGAAACTCACACTTTGAAGTTTGAATTCTTTTATAATTACAATGGAATAGATACTATTAAACCTAGCTAGATGCTAATTAAGTACTTTATTCTCAAAAGCCTTGTTGGATCCATCTGTTTTTAACCAAACAAAAAATAAAATAAAAAATAAGTAAAAAAAGTTAGGCAAACCAGCAAAATCATTAAAAAATCTTTATAATTTATTAAGTATGTAAAGGTAAAAAGGATTCTTATAAGTGGTTTTGGAAAGAATTATCTATGAGTTTTGGCTCTCTCCTTTTCATTTCTCAAAGTTCAAAGTTAAAAAAGACTAGACATTTTTAATTATGCTTCTCTAATCTCTCTTATTCATAATATAATATGTGAACACATCATTTTAAAATATAGAGTAGTTTGAGTTATGTGTATAGTTTATATCTTGAATTTATTGAAAATCAACATTTGTGCTTAATTTAATTTGTGAGCTCTACGGGTTTGTTTGGTTTCTAAACGTAAGTATCGTAATAGTTGATTTAAATTTCAAAAGCTTGAGTTATATATATGACATTGTAAGAAAATTTAATCATATAGAGATGTAGGTTCGACTTCTTTCTTTTATTTATTTTTTTCTTTTATTATTATTATTTTTTTAGAATAGTACTATTATTCATTCAAAAGGTATGTGTCGACTTCTATGAAAAATGAAGTAACTGATCATGATACTAAGAAAATCTCAGCACATCGGGACCTCCCACTCTGATACCATCAAAGGATGAATAAACTACCACTCAACCCAAAAGCTTAAGCTGATGTGTTGGGTAAATTTAATTCATTTATATTGGATATCATCTAACATTCGCCTAATGTGACAGGTTTTTTACTTACTTGGTGGTGATGGGGTCCTTCCCTTTTATAGGCACGATGAGCTGACCAGGAAGGATGATGGTTAGAAGTGCAGGAGCATGCCGAGCTATACGAGGCCCTGACGAAGGGGCAAACGTTCTTGACAATTAGTGAATAGTGCCTCCATCTGTAGGCTTATTCCCTGCCACTGCAAGTTGCAGTCATCGACGACGTCTAGCTTGTATAGTGGTGGTGGTGATGTGCATGTACGCATGTGCAGCGTACAATGCTAGCCGCCTGTGGTCCTAGGTCTCGTTGTCGTTCTTCATGCTCAACGTGTGTCCTGTTCAAATTTCTCCCTCAACATATTTATTTATTTTTCCATCAAAAGTATAGGAATTTATACTTTTGTATTATTGAAACGAGTACTCCACCCACCTCATTTTAATACGGTCAAAATTTAGTAAAATATCAAAATAAGAATTGAACACATTATAATTGACATACGTAGTTACGTGAGGAATCTATATGTATACACAACATATAGAATATATTCAAAGATTTAGAATATTTTCTTTAAAGTATAGTATATATTTTAGTTACACTTTTATATCTCTTCTTGATGACCTAAGCCCATTATGTAAAAATACCAAAAAAATGTGGCGTCATTTAAAAGAAAAGAAAAAATCTTTATTTAACGATTATGACATATCACATGTCTCCTTTAAAAAAACAAAGAGTACGATATAATTAGAACATTGAAATTTAAACGAAAAATTCTAGAAAATTGTGTCTGATGATCATACAAAGATATGTATCTGAATATATTTTTATTTTGGTTTTAAATATAAAAAATAAAATTTATGGTCTTTGTGGACAAGGGAAATTGGGGATCACATGGGCAATATGTCAAAAGAAAGTGAATTTAGGGTTTAAAGCAACGCGATGGCTGAGAAACGTGGTCGGTTTGAGACATAAATGAATATTTTGTAACCCCAATATGTATAACAAAACTTTATAATATAATTAATGTAAAGTTTATTATTGTCTCCCGGGAGACGGCATGTACCGTGGCAAGTGCTTGCAGCCTTTGATACCACTTACCTTGATGTCTCAAGTTCGCGCTTAACTGAGGGAATAGCCCTCGACTGGTAAGCTAAACAAGAAAATGACTAGTAAAATAAATATAAATTAAAGAGATACTTATTTTTTAATTTTTGAAATTAGACTAAAATTTTAAAGTATTTTAAAAACACTAAACCATTTAAAGAAACTTAATTTTGAGAAAAAAGAAAGCAGAAAATTAAGAAGAAAATAAATATAGATTTGGAGCAACTGCTTATATACCTAATATACCAAGAATAGAATATATTAGGTACATATGCTTTCCGTGGGAGTATGGTGTAACTATGATGATCTGTAGAATTAAAATTAAAAAAATAAATCAAAAACTTAGTACGCAAACTTAATTATATTAAAATAATTTAATTGATTCATTTTTAGGTATTCCATTTAAAGTAGGCTCAAAACCAAAACAACAGCTAATATTCTACCTGATTTTTTTTTATTTTTTATTTTTAATGTAGGGTGGAGATTCGAACTCATGACTTTTTGATCGGAATAGATGTCTTAGTACCTACTAAACTAGGTTCAAGTTGGCATTCTACCATGTCATTTAATTTGATTGAATAATGAGCGGAAATTTTTATGTTTTCAAAATTATTTCTTAATGGATTATTACTAATTTATTCAATAGCTTTAGATGTTTTAACTTTAATCTATGTCTTTTAAACAAAAACCCTAAACTGAGGAAATTAACACAATTACCCTTAAGTGAAATGTTGTTAAATGATCAGTCTAAGAGAAATTTTATATAACTGATCAACACTTTTTGGGGAAATTTAACATTTCATTCTCAATACTTTACCATTCTTATCAAATTTCCTTATTTTCAAAAAGGTTTCATTAATTATTAACTTCCCTAAGTACTTCAGTTATACCTCATCAATAGTTATTAGTCATCTCTACAATCACTTAATCAAATTGTTTTAAATTTTCGTAGAAAATTAAAGTCAATAAGAAATTATAAATTAGCACAGTCTGTTCTATGAATGATATATATGTTTATAAGTTCGTTCAATAACTACATGACCCTAGATATAATTGACCACACTTTTGAAAATGTTAGCCACGGTAAAACTATACAACAAAAAGAGAGTGTTAAGATTCATGGGTTCTATCTCAATTAAACCAATTGATAATGACAAAAGTAACACATATCTATTCCAAACCCTTGTTAGGTCGTTATATGTGGAGTAGTGGTCCTTTAGATTAAAGTGTCGAGAGAGGAGAATAAATGAGAATTGGGACGACAGTGCTTGAATTGAGTGGCGATGAGAAGGTGACAAATGGACAAATGAAAGCAAAGAATTCGATAGATGAATTGAAGAAAGGGACCATTTAGATACCTCAAGAAGAAGCAAAAATGAACAAAGAGTGCGACCAGATTCAGGTTGTTGGATAATAAAGAGTCAATATGTTTTGTCCTTTGAACTCTTCCACACCACACATATAAATCCACGAAAACAAATAAAAAACACGACCATTTGCAGCAAAATTCTATTGTCTTTGCCCTTTCAAATTGGCTGTTCGAATATGATCTCCTTTTTTTTCTTTTCTTTTCTTCCCTTTTTTTATCACTATATGCCCCCTTTGAAGGCCACCTTTCAATTCTTAGGGTTTTGTTTTGCTCCTCTATCAATCGACACTAGCCACTTTCAACCTTTTTTTCTCTTTTTATGTGTGAGAATATATATCTGAAATCCATTATTCATGTGTGTTTATTTGTCTAGCTATTTCTAGTAGTTTTTGGATATATAATGCGTATATGTAAAGAATTTGGACGTGATAAACTCAAGTTTTGTTCTTAAGCTTATCGATAGTGAGATGTTACATTATTTATATTCGAGTGCGTAAAACTTATATATATTATTTTAACTAGTATACAAACTTGTTTAGATATAGAGGGTTTTGGTAGCTAATATGATGAATTTGAGTTTTATAACTACTGCTCCATGGATGTCTAATTAAGCCAAAGGGGTTAGAATTAACTGAGGGGGAATGAGTTCAAATCCCATGATGGCCACCTGTCTTAGGAAAATTATTAATTTTTATGTGTTTTTTAGCATCAAATGTTGTAGGGTCAAGATTAGTCAACGAAAAAATACTTTAGCTGGGAGGTTATTGCAACAACCTTCAACCAAGATTTGAGAAGGTACATACAATTTTATCACTTAACTATGCTTAAGTTGGCACCTATTGATATATAATTGTTATTCTTTTAAAAGATACAGATTAATTGATGAGAAGTAATTTCGAGTACGTAATAACTATGTAGTGACAACATGTTGCAGAAGAATTCTTAATTATTTTGGAAAACGTCTCAAAAAGACTTTTTAATAGATCTTGTGAGACAATCTCCATGGATTGCGAATATTGTCATTTGTCAAATTGGCTAAGATATATAGTAAGTACATGAATGTAGAAATAGAATATATTTTATCCAAATCAAATATTCCACTCAATATAATTTATCAAAAAAAAAAAGGAGAATATGAAATTCCATATATATACACTTTTTATTCACAATGAGTAATTCAATTTTAAAAGTCATGTGGGAATGTAGAAATCAACCTTGTTTCTCTCATGCATTCCAGAGGGCTCATTTAAAAATAAAATTTTAAATATATTTTAGTTTTTAATATTCTATTTTGGTTCTCAACCCTTTCAAAAATGGTTCATTGAAATCCTATTAAACACTTAAAAGTCTCCTATATTTCTGCCCAACATTATGTTGGAACTAGAAGAGAATATTAGATGAAATGATTGTTGTATCATATGTAACGTCGGTTGCTCTTCAAGGTTAATACAACTTCGAACTCAGACATGCACTCGTTAGAGCCAGATAGAATCGAAGAACACACTCAAATCTTTGTAAAAAACTCATCATCTTATTTCCCCAGGCATGAAGAAACTCGATTTAGTTTAAAAAGGAAAAAGAAAAAAACGTCTTAAATTAATTAATAAAAACATTGTAAAATAAAATTAATTACTTAATTAAAACGTTAAAAAATTAACTTGTTCAAATAATTAAAAATAAATAATACGTTTTTTCAAAACCATAAAAGAGATATTCAATATACTTTGTCATTTCCAACAGATTAACTCGACAATATATGGATAATTCAGTACGAAATAAAATATTTAAATATAAAAGTTTGGCAACAAAAAAAAGTATTAATAAAGAAAAAGAATATTAGGGTTTGGCAATGGTAATTTAATTTATTCCATTATTGAAAGGAACCCCCACAAAGGAGAAAACATAATGTGGGAAATTAGTTGTTGGTGTAGCCCTTCTTGTGGAATACGTCTCATTCTTTCCCACACGCACCAAACACACAAAAGACAAAGATTCCCACGTGTGGGGTTTCGAAAAAGACTTCTTTTTTGGAAAAAAAAAAGACTTGGAATTTTATAATAATTAATCTAAATGGATTCCCATAAATCCAATAATTAAATACCCTAACGACTTAGGACGATGACAAATTTATTTTTTCTTCTCTCTCTAAATATGTTGATTGTGAAATTCGTATCAATCATCAAGAATGTTCTTAAAAAGTGGATTAGGATATAAAAGAAAAGAAAAGGAAAAATTGTTTGTCCAAAAATAAGCATGGTTTTTTAGAAAATAGAAATAATGAAGGAAAGAAAGTTAATTATAAATTTTATTTTTATATTTGTGAGTGTCCATATCAGCTTACACCTCGATTAGCCATCATGGGATTTGAACCCTAATCTCTTTAGATCAATGAGTCATCTATGATCGTTAGACTTAAGCTATAATATTTAGTGTTTAGGAAAAGAGATATTAATTAATTATACTTATATTCTATATGTTCATGTCTAGTGTGAGTGAAGATATATCGTTACTTGTTAATCTTATTTATCGTCTTAAATAGTGATTGTTTATTAGTTTGTTAATGTGATATTCAATAAATAAATCATGCGGCTAACATATGAGTGTCCATTTGATAATGTTCTCATTAACCATCTTTTTAATAAAAAATAAATAAAAATGTATCTCCACAACCCTACAGATTCAATAACGATAAAACAATATTTTTATTATTATTTCGAAATAAATTGAAAAAAAAAAAACTTTACCTTATTGTTTCGAAAATTATTATCTATACCCAATACTTAAGTTTCTTAGAAACAAGAAGCTGAAACGTTTCGATTAATCCATTTTCTATCAGTTTTGTCGAGGCTATACTTACTAGTATTCGTGTCAAAAAGTGAATAATAGAAATTTCGTAAAAAAAGAAATAAATTATTAATATAATATAAATAAATTGCGAAATTCCTTCGGACCCCACTTCACACAAAGACCCCATAACACAATTCAAAAAAAGAACACAGAAATATGGCATTAAAGTTTGTTCTTTTGCCAATATTCACATAGCTTCCATTTTCCATTCCCATTTTCTCCATATATCTATATATATAAATATATATATATAACACTGCCCCTTATCCTTCCCAAGCTCAGAGAAAAAAAAAATTAAAATAAATAAAAGAAAAAAATGTCCGGCGTGTGGGTGTTCGACGACAACGGCGTGATCCGTCTGGCGGCGGCGGAGGGGGAGGCGCGGCGGAGGAAAGTGCTGGTCCACACGCCGACGAACGAGGAGATGACGTCATACACGGTGCTGAAAAATAAGCTGCGTTCCGTCGGGTGGGAGGTCTATTACGAAGACTCGGAGATGGTGCAGTTTCACAAGCCCTCCTCCGTGGACCTCATTTCTCTCCCCGCCGACTTCGCCAAGCTCAAGCCCAGGCACCTATACGACATCGTTGTGAGGAACCGTAATCTTTTCCAAGTTCGAGATATCCAGTCCCACTAAATGCCACGTCGTATTCATCCCTTTAATTTCTCTCTACTTTTATTTCCTCTCTCTTTCTCTTGTTCTTGTGTGTGTTTCTCTATCGGTGGTTGTGTAAATTTGTTGTTCAAATTACATTCACGAAGGATAAAATGGTAAATTTCCTAGGGTACTTATGGAAAGTTTTTCCTTCAAGTCAGCAACGTTTGAAATATATGATTGGGATTTATGTAATGAAATTATGGGTCTAGTTTAAATCTAATATCACTATTTCAAAATTATTTCATTTTGGGTCCGGCCAGTTGCCCATTTTTGTTTCCTAACCTTTGAAAAGTTCATCATTTATAGGTCTTTGCTTTTAACGATTTAACGATTTAATCATTTGATTTTGAGTTTGTATTGTTAATGATCTTACGTTGATAAGATAATAGACCTAACAAAAGTCTATAATAGACATGAACTAAATTTTGAGATGGAATCCTATGAATATTAATATGGTATCAAAGTCCAAAATCTTAAACGAACATCCAATCCAAAAATGAGATCCGATTAAACATAGCAAGAGCAAGGATTAAAATGCACTTTTTAAGAATTTTAAGCAACAAAAATAGAAATAAAATTTAAAGTTAAAATCGTCCATAAATTAATTAGGTCTCTAACCAGAAAACGAAGAAATTAATAAGTAATGGGGGAGTATTTGAATCATATTACTAGGCCGATGCGATGGCTGTTGGGTGACGCGTGGAAGCTAGAGAGGGAGGGATGGGGAGTTGACACATAGATAAATAAAAAGGGTTTGAATTTATTATTTTTACTTTTCCTTCAACTTGCTAGCAGGATATAGTCCCCACGTGGGCACCACGTTATGTGGAATTCTTTCAACGCCCATTCCATGTAAGTTTGAAATCTTCCACCAAATTATTTGAGAAAGTTACAACAAAAAGTAGGTTTTTTATTATGTAGAAAGTACGAGAGAGAAATTACAAATTAAAATTTATTTCAAACTTGTATATCCAATACTTACTAATGAGTAGATGTATCCAATAATTCTTTTCCAATTTAAAATTAAAAAATACATTTTAAATTGCTTCATCCAACTTATTTAAAAAAATTGACAATTAAAAGAGATGCATAGAAAAAGGGAGAGAAAATATAATAAATAAATTTCAATTCTGTAATTGTGGTAAATATGAAGATGCCGGCAGTTTTTGTTTGGTTTTCATGCATGATAGGGAGGAAAATAGGTCCATGCAAAAATTATAAAAAAAAAAAAAAAAAAAAGTGGAGAGAATTAGAATAATAATAATAATATGATACCTAATTAATTAATTAATTACTTATTGTGTGTTGAGTTGGGACTTGGGAGTAAACAAATTTTTCTTTGGAAAAAGTAAAATAGTTGTTAAATTCTATATATAGTGAATATAAGTAATAATGTTAGAAAAATGATGATGTTGGGTTAGAGTGAACTGACAGAGCACGTGTGGGTGTGCATGCATCACAAGCCGGTGACGATTAGAGAGAGTCTGATGGGTCAAGGGATGCCCATATTGTGGGGAAGGGTAAAAAAGGCAATATACCCTTATCATCTCTAACTCCTATGGTCAAGATTCCTCAATTTGTTGTACTAAAACAATTACTTAGTTATAATATAAAATTGGGAATCAATCAATGAGACAGCACTTTTAAATTTAGAACTTTTTTTTCACGGACCAACCGCCTGATCCTACTGACAGGATTACTCGTAGGATATTAAATCTTAAGTATAGCCACCATGTTAAACTTTGTTCTTAAAAATGAGTAATTTCATCTTAAAATACCAACAATCACCTTCTCTTTTCTTAGTTCTTCAACCTCGCACCTTTATCAATAATTACTACTTTTATCCTTTCTCTCTCATCTGTAACATTTAATTAATTGTTTTATAATTTTACTCTTTCTTTATTTATTTGTACTACTAATAATTTTTCCTTAAATAAAAAGTTATACAACTTTGATTACTTAGTGTTATTTTATTGTAAAATATTACAACTTTCTATTTAATTTTACTTTATTATTATTAATTAATATCAATAACTTTGTTACAATATACCATTACTATATTTAATAGTAATTAATAATGGTTGTTCCAGTAAAAATTATATTAAATTTTATAGTTACTATAATTTTATTTTATTTATTATTTGTCATTGTTAAATTGTTGTAGTAAAAATAATTTTTAGTTTTAGCTAGAAGTAAGAAATAGATATTTTAGTAATTGTCATATATCTTGATTTCAAACCGTTTCAATAATACAAACGAAAAAATTTCTAATAATCGACATCCAGAAAATAACATGCACATCCAAATTCACCACGAATGAATGGGGCCTAAAGATTTTGAGGGAGGAGAGAGGAGATTTTTGACAGTCGTGGGAGATGGGCAGCAATGCTCTCCCTATTGAGCAGTCGCTTCATTCCCTTTGCCATTTCCTTCACCATATTTGCATTCTTGAATGGCCAAAAACCAATCAATGCAATCTCAATTTCGAACGTTAGCTTTCATTTGAGTTCCTAAATTTTTAAAAACTTCGCCGTTTTATCCTTAATAAGAAAAAGTGTACCCTGACGAATTTAAGAAAACATAAGCTTCTTGACTTAAAGAGGATACATTGACAGAACTAGAGAAGGCTACAATCAATTTTGTACCTAAGAAAAACTTGAGATTCTCATGGATGGTTTAATTAGGCATAAGATAGGCCAATCGAGCCGAGAGAGTAAGGAGTGGGGTGCAAGAGTCATTCTTGCGACCTTCTCCCATATATTTTAACTCTTCTTAGTTCGATTATTGAGTGATTGATATTCTCACATATATCATACAGTATTGTTAAGAATATTAAACATAATCACATATTATTTCAAAGCTTATTATTTTCAAGTGTCAATAATCTATAAACATCAAACCAAATCTTAAACTAAACTATTGATAAGTTAGATGATGTGATAGCAACCATAGCCTAATAATAGATGAAACGTTATCCGATCCCCCTCATCCTAAGCCTAGTGCTCCATATTGAATTATAAATATGGATTCTTTTCTATAGTAAACTTATTCACCAGGCTCCAGCAACATCCAATATATATGTATGCTCTTGGTTTGGTTCGAATTTCAAATTAGACTTTTTCTTTTATATCCGTGAGTGTCCTAGCCAGCTTACGTGCATCTCGACTAATCTCACGAAACAACCGTCTAACCCTATAACATTTGGTGTCATTATGAGATTTGAACTCATTCCCTCTTAAATAGCCCTAATCACTTTGGACCAATGAGCCACCAATGATGGTTAACTTTCCAATTAGACTTGTTCTTTCGTATGAACAATTGTTTAATTTTTGGCCAAAGTTCTACTTATTTTGGCTTATTTCTATTATTTTTACGCATGGAGACATGAAATAACTTCAATGTCGTATTGTCATGGTCTCCCAAGCAATATATGACATCATTTATATCTACAACATCACACAATGTCTCAATAAACGATACATGATGTTACATACCCTATCAGCATCCTACACTATACTATCTATAATCACTTTCCTTACAACAAATATGTATATGGAGATTTGAAACTTCTATCTCAAAGGAAGAAATAAATGCCTTATTTAAATTTTAGTAAGCTTAAATGCCCCCTTCTTCATTCATTTTAAAATTAGAAGTAGTGGATGAACTACTTTAGTGTTTGAAATTATTATCGGGGCTTTTGCTCTATCTTTCTATAAAAAAATCATTTGAAATTGGGATGTCAGATCTCAGCGGATAGTTCTGTAGAGGGAGAGGGAGAGGAAACTCTAATTCCATAACCCACAGGAGAATTCTAAGAGTGCAAACTGCAAATGAATGTCCAGAATCTACAAATGAAGAAGGCAGGTTAAATATGTAGGGTGTTTGCCGAGAAGACCTAAAATTAAGAGAGAATAAGAATTTTCACCCATCTTTGGTCACAACTATCTTTCTTCTGCCTCCTCAACCCAAGAGTTATACCACTTTCTCGGCAATTCTAGCATTTTACTCCTCAACGAACGGGGGGAAACCAACTGAGTGAGGCCCACTCCAAGAATATCCTAGGCAACAATATTTTGTTCATTATCATTCATTTCACCAATACCCAATACCACCCTCGAGTAAAAATAGTTAAAGCTTAGACCTGTTTGATTTCTTCTCATTTATTTGGTATGTTTTCACCATTGACAAAAATACAGAATTCTTAGCCAAAAGAGAGTATGTGTCAGATGAATTGTGAATGAAATAACATAAGAGATAACATAAGAGATGTAGGTGAAAGATTGTTAAAACACACCCCAATGGGAGGTGTCTGGTGATAGCTAGGATAGAGAGGAAACTTTCTGAGTTTATTGATAGATTCTCCGAGAAAAATGTAGCAATAATATAACAGAGAACAGTAGGGGAGAAATCGAACTCCTTGGTCCTACAGCTTGGTAGTATGGTGGCGTGGGTGAGAGAGTGTTTGGGGCAGGCAGAATAGTATTCTCGTGGAAAAGGAGGGCTTTCTTTAGAAAGAGAGATGAGACTGGATTTGATACCAAAAAATGAGAACATTCAAGAATTTCTTGCAATTCCCATACAGACTAAATCTTGATCTTTGAGTTCTTACAAAAGACTAGTGTATAAGTAATCATAAATCTAAAAACTCTACACTCATCTTAGCCAAACTCTACCAAGTTGTCTTTAACATGTCTAGAACAGAGCAAAAATGAATCATTGTCCTTTTAATGGAAAATTAACTTTTTCATGGAGAAAAATGAAAGAATACAAAACCAGCCAACGAAAAGAAAAGGACACCACAAGAGAAGTCGAAACAAAACCCTGTAGTATAGATACAAAAATGGACTGAAACAAATAAGAACAAAAACCTCTCCGTGCAAGGGCATTGAACCTAGCTAAAGACCAAACTTCCCTCGAGACTGCTAAATACAAAAAGGGCTCCTTAATGAGCATAGATAAACATAAACTGTTATCTCCAAAAGGCCTCCTAAGAAACCACGAGTTTGGTGATCAATCAGACTAATTGGCCTGATGTGAAAATAGATACCCAGAAAACTTAACCATTTACTTATCAAAGAAAAGGTTCAATGCATGCTTAAAATAAGGAAAGTTATTAATTTGCAGCAAAGCACTAAGCAGTATCTCTATGATATTAGATACCCCGCTTTTGGGAAAAAAGTTTATAATCCGCATAAGTTTAACACTAATTCAAGCGACAAAAATTAAACATCATGGAGAGGCAAAACTTAAAAATTTGACTTGAAGCCTGAGGCAGTATACTAATTTGGGCTCAAATTCCTATTGACCAAGAAACTTTACACGAACAACTCGAGTATACCTGGATATACGTCCACAGAACATGAATCTGATACACAAAAGACTCAGCTTGGCTTCATCGTTGATTCAAAGCTCATCTTCCATCCTCAAATACTCTCCAATATCCGACTGATGGAGAACCACAATCCCATTGGGATCCAATTTCCTACAGTCCTGCGTGGACTTCGCCGCAATTCCAAACCCCAAAGGCACGTCCGACATCGAATACACGACGACTCCATCACCAGGAGCAATATTTTCAGTAATCCGCCCTAATCCGCCTTTCAAAACGTGGTTCCCGTACAAAAAAGACATCTCAGATGTAGGTTTAAGCCAAACCTTGTGCTTCGCATTGGGGGCCAAGAGACCTAGCGACTGAACAGTGAGATGGAAACTGCCGCCATGAGTGATCTTGCCGATGCAGGTGCCGAGAGCGACGAGGTTGCGGCGGGCTACGTTGGTGGCGCGCTTGACGAGGGAATCGCTGACGTAATAGACCTTGTTCTTGTGGAGGCGGAAGCAGTAGCGGCCAGGATTTGGTTCGGGGCCTTCGTGAGAGGGATTCTCGACGATGTTCCTGAGGTTGTTTCCGGTGAATTTGTGGAGCTTTTCGAATACCGCGGTGGTCTCCTTCTCGTCTAAAGGTCTCATCGCGGCCTGAGAATAAGCAAATCGGCCGGTCGGAGCAGGGGATTACGCGGTGACTGCGGAGGTTTTAGGGTTTTTCAGATGGTTTTCCCTCACTTTCTCGGGGATTTTCCCTGGAAAATTGGAAGAAACCCTACTTGAAGTTCTAGCGAAGCCCGGGCCTGAATTTTATTATTATTTTTTTTGAATGAAGCCTGGGCCTGGTCTTAAGAAAGCCCATAAAAATTTAAGAATGGATATTTATGTTTTAAGAAAATATCTTTTAAAAACCCAAAATTTTAAAATATTTAGAATTAATCCAAATTCCACTTTGGTCCCTCCAATTTAAATAGGGTTTCAAATACAAGTTATAAAGTTCACGCTTTTAGTTCTTAAAGTTTGTAAAATAATTCTAAATAGTTCTATGAGTAACTTTGACTAAAATGATGTGATAATTTAAATTGTAGAGTGTATTTTCCTGTGATTTGACAAATATATTAATTTAATAATTTTTCTTTAAATTATCTATTCAATTTCCTTTCACCTTCTTCTACCTCCCCTCCTTCGATGGAGCTTACCACCGACCGCCAGAAGCCATTTTATCAATGTCCGCCACCACTGCCAATCTCCGATGACGAAATTCGTTGGCTAGAGAGAACAAAGGAGAGAGGGGGAGCTCTCCCTCTCTACTCCCTCTCTTCGGCCAGTGAACAGAGGAAAGAGGGAGAGGTCCCCCTTTCTCCTCCGTTCCCTTATGGCCGACGAAGGTCGTCGATGTAAGTAGCAACGGTGACATCTGGCGAGGATGAAGATGGCAACTCATGACATTTTGGTCATAGATATATGCCTTAACCACTTGAGTTTGGCTATTATTATTATTTTCTGTTCATGGGTCATGTATGACAATTTACACCACATATATAAGACGTGCATCAAGTAACCTCCCTATGGTGGAACAAGTAATTGTTGACAACAGCCTTTTGCCACATTTAAATTATTGCATTTGACTTAAATACGAAGGGGCCTCCAAATCTCTTCTTTTTTAAAAGTTCCCACAAAAAATTTTAAAAAAATGTTCTTCAGATTGTATACGTCTTAAACATGAAATGATCTAGGATCTCTTGCTCTAATACTATCATAAATATAATAAATCACCCCAACAAAAATTAAAGTGAGATGGATTAGGATAAATTTAATCATTTATATTGGAAATCTCTAGTAATATGCTTGATTCAATATTTGTAAGTATCGTCTTTCAACGTGCATATGAGGACAACACCTAAAATAATACGAGGATCATTATAGGTGTTTAGCCTAATTAGTCAGTCACGCACGCTTGTATATACGGTTTTTACTATTTTCAAACGAACAAATATTGATACAAATTTAAATTTTTCCGAGTATTGGATAACATTATTTCTCTCTTTTTACTCCATACTTTTAGTTTTATATTTGAAAAAAATAAAATAAATAAATAAATTATTTATTGTTCTCATTTCTTGTTTTTTAAGAATTTTGGTTTCTTTCCTTTCTATACCTCGTTTCCAAAGTTTAAAAATACAGTTACAAAAGTACTATTGTTATCACATTTAACCTTTAACACTACAAATTTTCAAAGGACTTCTTTC